AGTAGTGTTTTCGTTCTTTTTGGGACAGGTCTCAGTCTTGTGAGCACCTCCACAGCGGAAACACTTCCGCTCACTTTCTGACCTTTCTGTTCTCCACTTCGTGTAGGTCTCCTTCTTCATGGGGTAGAACTGTCGGCTTTTCCTCATCATTGATTGCTTCTCGCGGGCATCACGAAGGGTGCGTCTTGCCCCTTGGATGGCTGCTAGTGCTTCTTCTGTCTCATGAGTGAGGTAGTTGTACTCTTCAACTTCTTCCTCAGTCATCCATGTCGGTGCTGGCGGTGTATCTTCTTCATGTAGAAAGGCATCGTCTTCTTCTTCTCCTAGCATCAATGCTGACCCTCGGACTTGGTCTCTTTTCCGGAGGTCTTCATCGGTCCAGTTCAGCTTCAATGCTTCCTTGACCCTTTCAGTCGTGAACTCATTCTTGAGACTGGCAATGATGGTGGCCTTTTCCGAGCCATCCAGGCCTGACCTTTGAAGGAGCATCCAAGCCACGACGAAGTCCGGGAGGAATTTCCCTGCCTCCTCTGAGGCCCGGTCTGAGGTTTCGGCTTGGTAGACCATCTCCTTTGTCACACGAGGTTCTGTTTCCCATTTCTCCCATGAACCCCAGGTCCACTCATCATCATTGTTCCAATCGTGCCAGCCTGCATAGTCTCTCCATGGGTCTGGCTCATCCGGGTTCTGAGCGCGTAGATCATCTTCATCCCGCATCAATCCATTCGAATCGAATGGCCCCTGTTCCTGATGCTGGTCGGCATGTTGTGAGCCGTGCTGACTGGATGTACTCTTGGATGGCCTTGGTTTGCTTGTGGAGGTCTTAATCAGTGAGGTCCTCCGACTGGAATATCCCTGTTCATATTCCTCGATGGCCTCAACCAATGTCCTCCTTGCTTCAAAGAGAGACTCGTCATGGCGGACGATCCATGCATTCATGCATTCTCCTTTTCTTCTTTTCACCTGGTAGAAGAATCTCGAGATGGACTTTCCAGCTTCAGCCAACGTGGGAGGCTGTACCTTGGTTTTCAAGAAGGTGAGCAGTTCTTCAGCGCCCCGACTATGTGAAATCCACCCTGGTGACTTGTGTTGAACTGCGGTTCGTGCAGCCCCTTCTAACACTGATTGAAGTCTGGGTCCAGCGAGAGGTCTCTTCTTCCATTCCAGTGTCTCCACGTAGTTGAGAGCAGCTCTTTTGTAAGCAACAAAAAGTTCTGCTGTTCCATCGTAGATGGGAACCCCATCTTTGCTATAGCGAAGTTCGGTCATCACCACCCAGCACAAAGGATCTCCTCCTCAATGTCCTGGATCTAAATTGGCCCGGCCCAATTCACGGAGGGGCCGGGCTCCGCTACCATGCGAAGCAACAAGGCGCAGCGACCCGCAAGGCTATTTTCAAAGCTAGGGTGGGGCGCTTGACCCCGTGAGTGTCGGTGACCGGACATGAACGTGGACCACATGATTGGAAAATCTGCATATATATATATATTACAATTACATATTTTTTCTGTATCAAAATTTATATATTACAATATATATATAAAATAAGTAAATATATAAATCATAATATTCTATTTATATTTAATTTCTAATTTAATATTACTTATTAAATCCGAAAATTACCAATTAAAGATAATTATAATCGAGAATTGCCGATTACTATATACCAATATCCATTATAATATTCGATCCTGATTAGTAAACGGGGGTCCCCCCCCTTCAAACAAATAGATATCCCTCTATAATAAATAATCACCAAAACAAATCTGGATTCTTGAGAGAATTCCTGTGAGAATTCCTATGAGAAAGCTGTCAATTTTGAAGAAACCTAGAGAAAATTATATCAGCTAATGAATCATAATCATTCGCCTCAGGAGCTAAAGAAAGGAAGATTACATGAGCAATTTTTTCCGGTGGATTTTTTTTTTTTTTTTTTTTTTTTTTTCACAATTAAGAACACAAAAACAAATCTATTATTGAGGATCAGGTGCCTTCCTGGTCTACTACCTTGAAAATTTGTTTAGGAGCAATATTTTATAAAGGGTTTAATTAGGAATTGGTGGTTTTGGTCAGCTATCAATTTTGAAGAAATCTAGAGAAAATTACATCAACTAATGAATCATAATCATTCGCCTGAGGAACTAAGGAAAGGAAGATTACATAAACAATTTTTTCCAATGAAAAAAAAAAAAAAAAAAAAAAAAAAAACTTTTCACAATTGAGATTCCAAAAACAAATCTATTATTGAGGATCAGGTACCTTCCTGGTCTACTACCTTGAAAATTTATTTAGGAGCAATGTTTTATAAAGGGTTTAATTAAGAATTAGTGGTTTTAATCAGCTATCAATTTTAAAGAAACCTAAAGAAAATTACATCAACTAATAAATCATAATCATTCGCCTCAGGAGCTAAGGAAAGGAAAATTACACGCATAATTTTTTCCAATAGTTTATTTTTTCCACAATTGAGATTCCAAAAACAAATCTATTATTGAGGATCAAATGCCTTCGTGATCTACTACCTTAAAAATTTGTTTAGGGGCAATATATTATAAAGATTTTAATTAAGAATTAGTGGTTTTAATCAGCTATCAATTTTGCTTTGCTACTAGAAAGCAAATGCAAATAAATAAGGTTCGAAAGGAATTCAATTCCTTATTACATAGATTTCCAATATAAAAAATTTAGGGTATCAAAGAAATTAATATTATTCAAATTCCATTTTTTAAATATAATATTTAAAAAATAATTAGAAATTTTTAGCATTATAAAAAATCCATTTAACTAATCAATAGCCAATATTATTCATTATTTATTCATATTCCCATATAATTTAATTTCGGCATTATATATTATAATCAAATATTCCATATATAGAAGCAATTATATTCAATATATTATAATTAATAATTATTATTTATTCTAATATCCATCATTTTAAAAATATTTCCATTTTTAATATTATTTTTTAGTATTTCTTTATAATATAATATCTATTTAATTATATATATTTTAAATCAAATTTCGTTGAACTATTATTAAAACAATACATGACATAGATATTTAATTTGAATTGATATAATCAAATATATGGATATTTTCTTTTTCGACGGGATACAATTCATTGACTTATTCCACATCGTTCAAATAAGATTTCTTCCTCCTTACAACCGGGTTGATTTCAAAACAAAAATAATGCAATCAAGGCCAGAAAATCAAGTATTACACCATTTAACATCTTCACTTCACTTTTCGATGTGGACGTGTCTGTTTCGTCAACTTCTGTGAAAGGATCCCAACTAAAGAAACACGTCCGCGCCTGTTGTGCCACTTGATGCGTTCTTCCTTCACTAAATTGATCTCTTCGTCCCAGCCTTCCCAAGCAAGCTTCGCTGGACACAGAAGTCCCATGTGGTTTTCGCGAAATTAGAACAAGTTGTGTAGTGAATTTGTAGTGGCACGAGCGCACCAGCAGGACTACCACGGACAATTCATGTCTTCTGGTTTGGACATAGAGTTTGCATGAATTTATCATGAGCAAGTGAAGATAGTGAAGTGGTTTATTTCACTGAAACAGCTCCTGCACATGAGTGGGAAGAGGGAGCTCTGGTATTACTCTGATACCTTTGTTGCCTAAAGGGGCAGATCAAAGAGTCTCCGATTTCGGGATCCGCTCGCCAACACGAATCTGTGGACTTTCTGGACTTTGCCCAAGCAATTGGCGGAAGTGAATTTTTGATATCAAAAAAAACTCGTCCGACCAGGAAGGCCCACTTTGGCACCTTGATGGTTGGTACGATCCATTCGCTGTCCTTCTTGCAGTGCCCAAATGGCCTGAGGGTGTCAGGGATTGGTTGGGCTGAGTCAAATGTATCCCGAAGAGGGGTTCGCAATCAACATTATTCAAGCCACACAGCAGTCTCATGAAGATCCTCGTTTCTGCCAAAAGCTAGAAAACTTGGTGCAGAGGCTCTAGAGGCTAGTGGACACAAATCATTAATGTCACAATTGGTGGGAACTGCTGCACCTCGTCATACCGGTGAAGCTTGCCGAGGATGATGCCTTCTCTAAACTTCGCCTGAGAGTGCCCACACACACACACTGACAAAAGCAATCAAAAAGTCAGGAGTGACCATGTGTCCAAATCATTCTCTATGGCTAATTTGTGGTGTTCTCTGATGATTTGTCATTGTGGTGGTTTGCTGGTGATCTATCTGTCCCATGTATGGCATCAACAACACATTTGCAAAACAACGGACCAATAGCTGGCAACTTCCAAATGAATGGAAGTGGTTTGAATGGCCTGTCTGACCTCTTGATGGCTGGATCGTGTGGAACAAGTAGGAAACCGCCAACTTCTCTCTGCACTCTCCGGGCCTTGTGCCAGGTGGGATTGATCTCCAAAGCCCTTTGCGCATCCTGGAACAGGTCAAACACGATCAACTCTGCAACCCATCGAACTGATACAATCTGAAGCGGGCCACCATCCAGGCACCAACGGAAGGAGACCAATGAAGGAGCCCCTAGTAGCGTCCTTGCTCAGGGTTCAGTGGTCTTGCTCTGGAAAGAACCCTGGAAGGTGATACTATGTTTCACCATGTTCCACCTAAAGCCACCCAAGTAGATTGTGCCGTTCACTAGCTTGCACGCCAGGTTTGTCAAAGGCATTATCTCATCCCGACAAGGTCGCCAGGACACCCAGTCGGCTTGCGACATCCTGGCTCCATTCTGGATCAGTCACCGAAATGGCCATTTCTCAACCTTACAGCGCTTACAGTAGAGACTTTGCTCTAAATGCTCTTGTGGCAAGCTATCGGACTTTCAAACTTGCGGGGCCCATTGTTGAGATTTGAGAAGGACACACCCATGAGCTCTCCCGCTTTTTGCAGGATGGAATTGTGGTGCCATTCTAGATTCACATCCGGTCTTCAGATGTCTTTGCAGGTCCTTCTCCAACATTTGTTCAACACAACATTCTCCTTTCCAAAGCACGTCAGATTTCACGCGCTGAAACGACTCAACAGTTGCTGAAGGCCCATGAACTCGTAGGTTCTTCCATTGACACCGTCACCCACTCGCTGGTAATTTCGCAGCCGGGCACCTTTCGAAGATTCCAGGCCTCAGAGGTTTCGCAAGGGCGACCAAAAGGAGTCACATCTCGAATGATACTATCCATACTATTCAAGTTGATCCATACCTGTCAAATTGATGGCAAACTGTGGACGGTATAGTGTGGGAGAAAACGCAGGAAAGAGACACATGAACTGGACACTCAGCAGTCCAACCACCAAATGTATCACCAGAAAGATGGCCACCACCACTTGCCTGGAGTGATGCTCGAAAGGGACCTCTGTGAATAAGGCCGAAAAAGCGTTTTGCCCGCCAACCAAGGCCAAAAAGGCAAAACTCACCAGAATGTAGGTGTCCAAAAGAGTCAGATAGCTGATGCGTGGCAACTCCTCACAGGTCAACCAAAACTAGGGAGGAGTGAAGCAATAGTTGATAGTTTCTTTTTGCCAATTCTGAGATGCCTGGTGAGCTTCTTGCAGCTACTTATTCTGATCCCAGGATGTGATAAAACATGTACCGTGAGCATGCCATATTGATCTATATAACAGGTCTCAAGGTTTTGGCAGCGGCAGTCCCATTCCTGGGCGACCATATACTTGAAAGCAACCGAAGTGAGGACCAAGGTGAGCGTAACGCTCAAACGATCTGCCAAGTCCTCTTTGGGAATGGCAAAGGACGTGAACACCAGCATGCTCAGCAGAAAGTTTGGCAAGGCAATATTCCATATGTAGTATGCGGCTCGCCTTTCACCAACAAAATACATGTGCAGCAAAGGATATCGCTTCCGGTCTGAATCGGCCTCTGGTAGCATAAAGGGCCCTGACAAATCGAAGTCGGTGATGAGGGTAAACTGGTTTCGCAGAATCGATTTGGTACCATTGAAGCAATCCTCGAGGAGAGTCACTTCTGAAACGAAGTGCTTGCAGCCTCGCTTGTCTGAAGTTGCAGTGAGTGGGAGTCTTTCGAAAAGAATTGCAATTCCATGCAATTAAAACCTCCTAAGAATAATAGTAGCATATAGTAGCAATAATCCATTCGAGGAAGCAACCGTTTCTAATCGCAACGAGTAGCTAATGGTGACGGTTAGCGCTTGGACGTCAAAAGGAAAATGCTGTAGTTCAAAGGGCTCCCTGAAGGAGCCCCTACATTCAGCTCCCCATCACATCACTTTTTCCCCATTAGGCCCAGCCCGCCAATTGCACACTTTGAGTTCAGGATCGCTCAACTCCACAGTAGAAACCGCGTTCATGAAGACCAACTGTGGCTCCCAGGGCTCTGAGGGGCCTTCCTCAACATCCTTAAGTTCCGGTTCAACCCACATGGCCCGGACATAGAAGTGGCAGTCGAACTGCTGCGCAATCGTATCGATGCCAGACACAGAGAACACGTTCGCATAAATATAGACCCTTCGATGCGGGGAAAGCACCGAAGGCTGGGTACCAACGTTCGAGACAGTGGGCACCACCTTTACAAAGGGTTCTTCATCAGAGTCTGCCCCTGCGATCGAGCTGTAGAGACTTTGCTTCATCGCAGTTGAGACGCTGGCGATGCAAAGACGATGGTGGGACAGGGGTTCAATCCTGAAATCTTTCCAGCCATTTTTGAACCTTGAGCCGGCGCAAAGCTGCGGCGAGATCACGGAGAAGCCTTCTATTCGGGCTTGTCCCACCTCAACATCTGCTTGACTTGCTGTTGACAAATCAAAACAACATACAACAACTATTTCGCTCTACGGTATGTGCAAGGTTTTGCTTCAGGGATCACCGAGTTATGGACTCTGCATCACTTGATGCTCCAGTGTCGTTGCTTAAAGCTACGTAGCACGGTACAGTACCCGGAGAGGTTCTGCTCTGTGACACTCCTCCAGGATTTCCTCCAGCTTGAACTTCTCGGTCTCAAAGGCTAAACGAGCTGCCTCATGTCAAGCTGAAAACAGCTCTTCTTAAACCTTAGTTCTCGTCTCTCTCCTCTTCTTGCAACACTAAACTGTTCAATAATGTTCAACTGTTCAACTTGTTGTCAAATTTTGTCTCTTGCTGCATGAAGCCATCTTTCTTCGTCTCAGTGCCCTACTGCACGATTCGTCAGGGTGATGTAGCTGTCCGGATTTCGTTCCAAGGTGCGGTCGTAGCACTTCACGGCCTGGACGGCTGGACAGTGGAAGACCCGTTCGTGGACAGCGTGGGAACACCCCTGGCCCCTTGTCAAGTCTACCGTGGATTCCTATGGATTCCTTTCAACGTCTTGCTCAACAAATTCCGATGTCACTGAAAGAAGGCTAACATGTTGAAAGCCTTTCCGGAGGATCAACTCATAGGGCTTTAAGCGTACAAGGATCTGCCGAAAGCCACCTTCTTCAGTATATTGAGCTTTGATGAGCTTTGTTGCGTTGTGGCGCAAAGCATTCCCACCAGCATCCACCAGCGCTAGGTGATAAACATTGATATTTCATGTCATCTTGGCGCGCAGAAAGCAGCATTGAACTCAAGAAGCTTGCTTGAACCCTCGCTCTATTGCGTCTGCCCCAGCTACCGCTTGACGGATTCAGAATGCATATTTTTTACATGCAAAAAAACATCATTCGGAAAAAAGACACAAACAAACACACAACAAATGCAACCCTATGGTTGTCAATAACAATCCCGCGACCAGAGCCACAGCCAGGTCTCCAGGCTGCCCGATACTGGCTTTCGCGGAAGTACTCATCGCCCTTGGCCTGGGTCGTTGGGAGAGCAACGACAGTGTTCGAAGAAATGATTCCAGTGGCGCAGTTTGCATCAGTTTGCAACCTTATGGCACCACCCATGGCTGAATGGATTGATGGACTGTTCGTGGCTGCCCTGTGAACACATCAAACAATTTACAAAGGCCATTCGGATCTTACAGTACATGATCGTTTGGCTCAAAAATGCAACTGACTGAATGACACAATCTGGGGCCAATCTTTGCAGTTATGAATCTCTACGAACCCTTGATCCACTACTAGTATAATACATTATTTTTGTACAATACATTTTTTTTTGTACATGCAGTACATGCTACGAGTAGCAGTAGAGCCTTTCTAATCCAAACCCGATCTTTGCCAGTGCCTTCTCTTCAATAGCTTCATCATCCCAAAGCCCGTCGAGAATCATCTGCTGGTAGGGGTCGTATGCCTGTGACGAATGGAAGACATCATGGGTTTTGCAAGCAGGCATGCTTTTTCTAGCCTTTTCCAGCGTACTGAAGTCAAGAGGTGTGAATTGGGACAAACATGGACAAACCATACTTTGGATAGTTTTGGAATGCTTTGGATATCTAAAATACAGCATGGTATGATTCTCTTTATCTTGCACTTCTGCCCATGGCCCTGGCTGTACGGCTGAGGTTGTGGTAGCCCTCCACCACAAAGGACCAGGGCTCCGGCCTCAGCTCTAAGTGGTGGAGTCTGCAGTTTTTGAGAAACAATGAAACACCTGAAAGAAATACAACATGTAGGGCTGGTGTTGCCATGCTGGTGTTGCCATGAATTCTTGCCTTCGACTCCCTGCCGGTCAGGACACCGGAAGTAGGGGAAATCATAAACGTGACACCTTTGTGCTGAGAAAAGACTGAGATCCGTGCGTTTGTTTGGGCATACAAAGCTCCAAGATTGGTCTTCCATTCTTCTGCCTTGGCTAATGTTTCTGGCACATTTAAGTTGCATGCTCATTCAGACTCATTCACCATGAAAAAACACAAATGTAGCCCGCAGTGACAATTGACTGCGGATCTTCCCACTTGGGCATTGTGACATTTAACCAAACACTGCAAATGTCACAGTTTGATGAACTCTTCAGGATCAAATCTTAAAGTATCAAAAAAACCAATCATTGGGCATTGAGGAGATCAAAGTGAAAGCCGTGAGAAAACATGTGGCCCAAGTAGTTTAGCAATCTGGGTTGGTCGGTCTTTGACACATATCTTTGTCATCACTGACTTTCGGCTTGCCCTTCAAACGTTTCGGACCGGTTTAGCCAGGCCACTCCACATGCCACCTGAAGCAAAACCACTGCTTGGAGGTTTGGACCCCATTTCAGAAAATTGACACTTGAGCTACTGCGCGAAAATGGGTGACAAATGGATGTCATCGCCTGTCTAAAACAATGCTGCAAAAACAAGTAGGTGGAGACGCTGATAGTGACTTGGGCAACTGGTAAAACTCCTTGCTCCAGGTAAAAAAATGTTTCCAAGTTGCGAAACGAACTTAAATATTCAAGCTTAAGCTCGAGACGTTGGGCGTCTTCAGGCAGTGCGGACGTGGTGATTGAGGCAAACTAATGTTAACAGGAGCAATAAACATAAATATAGGAATTAGGTCTAGGTTGTTTAGTTTTGATGTGCCCAACCATGGCAGCTTCAAAAACAATCCCTACTTTTGTAGTGCTGGTTCTCCCCTGGTTTGGGGCGAGCAAGCCCCATCGCTCTTGAGAATCCATGGTGAACTTTGCCTCTGTGGTGTTTCACCCTGGCACGCAGGGGCACCTGCATACACTTCGAAAACCGAGCACTTGGCGCATCCCATGGAAACCTTACACAAGCACCAGCCATCCAACCAAGTCTTTGGCTTGGAGCAGATTCTCCAACTTGCATTGGCGGTTAAGAGCCGGTGTGCGCAGGTGGATCGTGGACTTCACCTGCCTTCTTCCATTGCACGAAGTCAGCTACAAAGCCCACATCCTTCAAAGCATCCCTCCCCTTAGCTCCTCGTCACTCTGATTCTGCATCTGCTTCATGCGCTGCATCTGCACAAGATCACGGGACTTGAAGCGGGCCACCATCCAGGCACCAACGGAAGGAGACGTTAAGCATGGCAATGGTTCAGTGGTCTTCACTTCGTCCTTGCCCTGGATCTTCGCCACTAACTCTTCCTTTGCCGTGAGCAGCTGGTAGATGGACTGCCACCGTCTCACTTCCATTGTCTTCACACCTATTTGTATAGCATATTGTGCGATTCGTCTTCACCAAGGCGGCAATCTCCGGCTGCTCCTCGTCCGATGCCATTGAAGATCTGACGATCTGGAACTTTCTGGTGGAATCGGGTAACGAGAATCAGTCTTGAGCCCAGCTTGAGTCAAAACCAATCCCCTCAAAATTAAAGATGTCGTACCAACTATTCAACTAAGTTTGCTTATGCTTTCCAGCAGGGATCGCACCTTATCTTGTAGGAACTTTATGGAGATGGTATTGGTCAGCTCGTTATCCCTTTACATTCTGGACGAGTGCAGGGAAGTTGACCCAAATCAATCAATTAGTGTCATATCGTGTCCATTCCTCATATGGTACTAAGTGAATTTCCAAGCTGCTGCCAGCTTGGTCACACCGTTTTCACTCATTTTTCAACTTTTTCAGGTTACTGTAGTTTTCAGTCGCAGAAATCAGAAACTACTGGCATTCAACATCTTTTCTACACCATTTTGCAGCACCATCTAAACCCTTGCACGTGCCAAATGTGGAAGCGGCTTGGAAGCGTGCGCCCTAAACCCAAATCAGCCAAACTTGTCTCACAGGCCCCGTGACGCCTACAACCTCTTCGCCATACGCAGCCACCCAATTTGCCTTGCCTTAGCATTGGGGCATGCAAATGCTTCCAAAGCTTCTTTCGTCTATACAAAATAGAGCGGCATATTTGTCCAAGTCTGTACAATGTTAGCAGGATGTGTCAAATCGGACATTCTGGGAAAGGAACTTCGATCTGGATCTCTTGTGATGGGTTTCGTTCCACGTTCTTCGCACATGCATCAAATCATCACGCGACTTGTCAAAGCGACCACTGGAGGATCCGGCAGGATGGGAGACTCTGGGTCACTTTTCAACCAGAACTTCACCTGGTGACGTGCAACAGCCAGGACGGAGAAACAATGTAACTCGTTTGGACAGTGTGGGACAGGTTTAATGATACCAAAGGCAACTTTGGGGAGCAAGCACCCCAAGACAAATATTTTGGTTGACTTTGCTTTCTGAAGCCAATCCCGCAGAACTGCCAACCGGCAAAGCCTGACAACACAGAACGAAACCGCTGAGGGCTATTGACTTCAACAAATCCTTCATCCAATCGACCCGACCTGCTGCCCACCGAAGGGCACATCCAACGCAAAGACGTCGGAACCGTCATCTCTCCTGGTAAGTGGCTTGGCCCAGTGGGGCCAGTTGGTGCTGTGGTAGGGCCGAGTGGGCTTCGTGGGTGTTTTGGCCTGGTAGGTCTGTGGAGCTCCAAATCACCAGGGGACAATTGAGAAAGATTAACTAGATGGTTCACTAGAACGGGGAACCACATGTTGTCCTTTTTCTCCGAATTTAGATGCCGCCACAAGAATTTATTCGGGGCTTTCGTCTCACTGTCATTGAGGCCATGGTGGCCTCTTTCAAACCGCTGAGAGCCCTGGCTGAAGCTCCCGCCACGCGGAGGGATCCAGGGGCACCTGCACAAGCATGGACCTCAGCATTGAAAGGACAGAGCCAAGTCCCGGGGTCGAGCAATGTTGGTCAGAAAGCAAGAGTGTGGAAGATTGGAAGATGTAAATGGATCATAATGGACCCATTTTCAGTGGTCTTGAAATGTCTTGAACTTCGACTGAATGATCGAAGTATGAGACTCTGAGTATCACGGTCCATGTGCAACAGCTCAAAACATTCTCCACCTTTGCCACGACGCTAAAGGATATTTGATCGGCGCGGAGCATGACGCTCTCGGTCTTGGACAGGGTGGACTCTTCCATGCCGAAGCGTAGGTCGCAAAGGTCTTGCCTCAACTCTCACGCTCCGGCAAAGAGGAACTCTCTGCTGCCGTTTGAGGCACCATGCTCTACTGCATACTGCATTGTCATACATGATCAGCTCCATTCTTTGAACGCACACACTACACACGTGTGATCACGTGTGGGAAGACCTAAGGGCCTAAGGGCTTATATAAACATGAGCACTGAGCCGCTCCGAATCCTTCCTCCTTCCTTGTTACCATTCAGGGTGTGTGTCTTAGTGATGCCTTCAAATTGAGAGCGTCGACTCTTGCAATCCTTCAACCTTCCCGACATCTTTTCAGGGCTTTCTCGATGATTTGGACTTTAAGCAACTCAAAAAACAACTTCTGCATTGCTGATGGAAGAAACCCGTCATGCACAAACGCACGCTATCAGCACACAGAGCTGCTTCTTGCGGCACATGAGTTTCTAACATCTTCCACTGCTTCTTCTCTGTCTCGGGCGCATCCTGCAAGGAACACTGGCTTCCGTGAACGTGCCAGCCATTTGATACTACTCTCACAGTTGCCTACTTGATGATACCTATCGCATGTGTGTACTGTGATCGCGTTCGCCTGAAAACACTTCTAGGATTGCAAGCAAGGTTAGCAAGCTGCAACACTGCAATCTACATTACTCTGAGTGCTCCAACTCTGCAATCTTACAGCTATGGAAAGGACCTTATCCGGGTGCAGGAAGCCGAACAACCAAACATCACCTTTCAAGCATGTTACAGGAATATATATATATATATGTATATATATATATCTATATAATTGAATTGTAAATGTAAGTATCACACATTTTGCCGAGGTTCCGAGGTTGTGCACCGGGTTTTCATGGAAAAAGCAAGCCAACATTTACAACTCAATGACACGGTTCCGACTTTCAGCATCCCAAGGTGATCCAAAAGGATCTCACCGTGGTGAGAATCTCAACGGAACATCAGTCACCGCATCCACAAAAGTGCCATCCATCCAGTGATGTCCTGGGGGGCTCAGGCCTCGGGCCTGGCTCCTCAAAGGCGACAATACATCAGAGTGATGGCGGCTCGCAGTTTGGGTTTGCAGAGGTCAGGCTCTGTTGATGTGGTGTTTGACACTCATCCTCAACACACTGATCCGGGTGACTCCATCATTCAGCAACATCTCCACTCGGTCTGGAAGGTTTACCATTCCTTTGATGAGAGCACTCAGCACCTTTTCTGGACCAGCTGGAACGTTGCGCTGGGAGCTTTGCAGAAGGTCCTATACCGATGGCAGGTCGTCAGTGGCCCCCTCCAAGCTTTGCAGGCCTACCTCCTGGACTATGACCTTGATCTTTCTGATGGCAAAGCCTGGAAACGAACAGGCTATGGAGGGATTCCTGACTGCGTGCTCAAATTGGACGAGTGTTGGCCGGAGCTTCAACACAAGCTGCAGACTGAGTTTCGCTGGCAACGCCTCCTTCGTTTGACCAGGTACGAAGGGTGCCACGATCTGGAAAGGCCATTAGATTGGCAAGTCAGCCTCACCCTGCAAAAGATGGATGACGGCCACAATGGGACAGCCCTTCGAGCTCTTCATCAAGGCACATTGCATGGCCAGCGAGGCCATTGTCCACTGTGTGGGGAAGAACTCACTTTCGTCCACCTATTGTGGCAGTGCAGGTTTTGGAAGGGCAAGGTCAAGGACCTTCCGGATCAATGGCGCAGAGGCTTGAGGCAGGCACGGAGCCTGAGCTTTGGCAGAGAGGCATGGTGCAGTCCATCTTCTACCTGCAAGAAGGGGGCATGGGCACCTTCCAGAATGAAGGGCTGTGGACGACTCAGGCGGCCTTTGACATCCCCTCGGGACATGCCGTCTCCCTTGCGGTGGCACCCACTTGTCGAGACGCACGCCACAAGCGGTTCGTCTTTGTGCTCTGCATGCATCAGGTCTTCTCCAAGAAGAGGGTGGCGGCTCTGAAAGGCATCTGTCCGGGCCAAGCCACTCGGGCCAGGGCCCTTTTCTATGGTCTCAAGCACCTAGCACTCCACAGCAGGGAGCGGGTCTCTGTGGCCATCTATGATCATGGCACTTGGAAGGCGTGGCAGCCTACTGAGGCATATGTTCAATTCCCTGACCTTTACCAGGGTTTGGATCCAGCAGACTTTGCCCAAGTTCGACCCCTTCTTTTTGGTAAGGAGGAAGAGGACACCAATGCAAATCGCTTGACCTTCCAGCAAGAAGCTGACAAGCTGGCTCGAGCCTTTGCCAAGCAGTCCCGCAATGAGGAGATCCTGGACCTTCAGCGTCACATTGATGAAGACACTAGGGATGTCCTCTGTGTAGCTGCCACCAGGATGAACATCCTCCTCAAGGACAAGACCCACTTCCTGCATCAGGCACAACCGGCCGACTCCCCGCAAAAAGTGCCCATGATTGAACAGAAAAGGCTCATTCTTCAACAGCTGGAGCAGCACTCCACCTTGGGAGGCCACTCATGGCAAGCATACCGCACTGGTGTTCGCTGCAGTCTTTGCAAGCAGCGGTTTCATGCCAAAAGCCTGATTGGAGAACTCAGGGCTGCTTTGGACTCCACCTGTGACATGGCAGTGACCCCTTCCCCGACAAGGAAGACTCGCTTCCAGGTGATCGATGAGCTGATTGCTGCACAGTCCGGCGTCCAACAGGGAGTACACCACTTGAAGCTTGACAAAGCTTACCTCCGATGCTCCGAGTGTGCCTGCTACATTTTGGCAAGGTGCAACGAGGAAGCCTTCTGCAATTTCGTTGGCAGCCCTTGCCTGGTTGGCCCTTTGGAGGCCTCTTTATGGAGCGGCCATCCTTCACACACGATGAGCCGCAAAGGGAGCATGGCAAGGTGCACTCGCTGCGGAGCAGCAGGCCGCATCAAGGAGGACAAGGTGGAGTTGAACACCAAGCTGACGAAACGTTGTGTCCACTTGGGGTCAAAAGACCTCCGAACGTGGTTCTCGTGAAGGCACTCAGCCCGAAAAAGGCGTGCAAAAAAAAATAATATCTATATAATTGAATTGTAAATGTAAGTATCACACATTTTGCCGAGGTTCCGAGGTTGTGCACCGGGTTTTCATGGAAAAAGCAAGCCAACATTTACAACTCAATGACACGGTTCCGACTTTCAGCATCCCAAGGTGATCCAAAAGGATCTCACCGTGGTGAGAATCTCACCATACTATTGTCACCCGTGTGCATCCAGACCGACCACAGTCAAGACTATGTACACACCTAATTATACACATCAACAAACATGACACGCTTGAAATGACGACCATGTGATTGCCATATATTGAATTTATGAGATTCGATGTTCCTGTTTCATAACCACTCCACATACTGAGACGTCTTCTGACCGCAAATATCCATAACGGGCCCCTGAAATCTCTGTCAAGCAAGGCCCCAGCCTCCAACATTTCCAACTCCTCAATGAGCACTTCATCAAGGTCCTGTGACGTCACAGTGCCTCTTGAACAAGTGCTCATTGATGAAGCCTTTTTCAAAAGCCTTTTGGCTTTTGATTCTTCTTTGAGCGTCTTTACTGCTTAGAGAAGTGAATAGACAGTCTAAAGAGTAGCAATTCTCCAGGAATCGTTGCAAGGCCACTTTATTCTGAGCCGGGAAGAACACCGCTACCGGCCTCCTCCTGCTCATACTTCGGCTGAGTGAGGGGGTCGCAGTAAGTGGAGGGCCTGGAACGACATCGCTGGAGGCTTGGAACAAACTGAACGAGAGACTTGAAAGCTGGAACCAGCAAAACATCCAAAGAGCCATTGGAGAGGGTCATCGTCAAGTTCAGAAACAAACACGTCTGGTCATGGGAAGCCAAGATGTAGATGTGCGCTGCAACAGTGAAGCTTCCCTGACGAACTGCCACAGGAGTGCAAAGGATTCAAGGTCATCTTTTGGGAATTCAACATCCAGCAAATAGTTATTAAAGTTCAGCCGTGATTAGATTCCAACCTTACCAAATCCTGGAACATGGAGTGCATTGGGCTGGTTCAAATCCCTTTGGCATTTCCCCTTGACATGGTTGAAAGAACATGAAAGAACAACGACAACGTTTGACATGTCACCAATCACCAGCAACACAACTCTCGTGCCATCCCTCAATTGATCGAACACCGCGAGAAACTGAGGTGACAAACGTAAACTTCCCGTTCTTGTCCATGATCATGGGCGTCTTCTGCATGTCCTGCTCACAAGCTCTATCTAGTTCACATCCGAAACGCAAGAACAACTGTACAATGCTGTCATTCTTCCAGTGAGAATTCAGGAACAGCAACCAACCCATCCACAACGACACCTGACATGTTGCATGATGAAACATCATGAAACATCATGAATCACTGGATTCACGGCTCTGGAAGACTGGACAACTTCAATGCCGGCTCTGATTTTGACTGACAATCAACTAAACCTGCTGTCCCTCGTTGATCTTGAACCAACAAATCGATCTTAGGGTTTGCTGTAGATGCTTCATAGATACATCACAGATGCTTCATACAAACATTGGCTCCTTATCCCACTTCATGCTAGGCCGGTTTGCTTCCCTTTCGTCTCTCATGAGGCGGTTCCACAACCTGGCCCACAAAACTCAGAAGGACCGCATAGTGAGCGCTCGTGTGATTGCTTTCGTGACATGTGCAGTGCAAATCTTTGCTACCAGTAATGGCCTCCAACCTACTAGCTATTTGTTACTAGTAGTAATGCCTTCCCAACAAGGGAAAATCTTTGTATCATTCTATTTCATACCTACAGGACCCGCAAAGGACATACCTTCCCGCATCTCCTAGATGACACCTGAGTTCATCAAGAAGCTTGAGCTCCAAGAAGTCCATCAAGCACAAGCTTTTTGCTTCTCGTTCAGTCGCGGCCCGGGTCGCGCTTCCCGGGGGTCTTCTTCACCAACTCCAAGGAAATTAGCCAGTATCGGCCACCATGCCTCAGAGAAGTGATGAAGGTTAAAGTGGAAGGAAGCCTGGATCTGATCTTTTGTTCATTTTTGTTCATATTTGTTCATCATATCTGGTCTGTTGTTCAACTTTAGCATGCAGGGAAAATGCTGACACACAGAAAGGATCATTCATGGGTGGACTGCAACATTCAATATGTGCCAAGTGCAAGCGATCGGGTTCCCAAGACAGTACAAACAAAATGGCTTGAATCGTAAGCAAACAAATTCAAACAACACCTTCACAATCTCAGGAGTCTCCTTGGCAAAACCTTGATCTATGGGCTTGATCCTTTTGCTGGGTTGCTTGGTCATGGTCCAGTAGCACTTCTCCTTGTTGAGCTGCTGCAGGGTTGGCCTGGGCTTAACGTTGTCGTGGATGGACCGATTGGTTGACCGAATGAATCGCAAGGACACTGGGGCGCGCCTGCCGGTTAACACAACACCATTTTCGGTGTGCTGTGAATGAACTCCTTTTGCATCCTTGAGGCGTGCTCTGGACAAAGGCCGAATTGCCGGTTTAAATACTTTTCAAAATACTGCATACAGCAGCTTCAGGGACACGTGGAACGTGAAGGGACATGCGAAGAAATGGATGCCTAGTTCCATCCCAGGTCATTGGCATTGGCGGTAATCCTGTATGGCCCGGCAAGTCTGACATGAAGTTTATCCTGCTATGTGCAGGCTGTGTGCTCCAACAATGTCTTGAACTCTCCATCATCCACTTGAGGTCTTTGACCCGGACGCACAGCAACCTGGGCCCCAGTCCCATGCAGTCCGCGGATCATGTGCCAAGCGGAACTACCACCACCTGAAGGGCGAGTTTAAAAGGACAATGAACACATTTTCTTACACACATTTTCCTCATTTCCTCTGGAATTATGTCAGGAAGTAAGCACCTTTATCGTGAATTGGGCACCACAGGCATAACATGGCTTCTCTTCTCAGCTCTGACACATCTCTTGAACTGGCCCATGATGGCCCATTAGAAGCGGGCCCAGCAGTTTGCAGAAACAGCTTTTGTTTGGTGATCTTTGGTTGCCGTTTCTACAAGCATGTAATATGAATTGCCACGCAACATGAGTTGCTTCTGCGGTATGGTCCCATGACGTTATGTGATATAAGGAGGTTTGTCACAGTAAAGCTGTCTTGACCGACAAAAATAGAGGGAAGGTGAATGTACCCACCGACATTGATAGGGGCGTCATGATCATGTCAAACCTGCAGCAAACTGAGCTCCTAACGCTTGCAAACCTGCGGCTGGCTTGATTGAAACTTGGGATGTGATGAACATTGATGAACGCATGTGCTACACGGTGCTTGAAAGGATGGCAATCCTACCAGTCGGCAAACACATGAACAAATATCTTCTGACCCTGTTGACTCGTCCACTCTTCATTGACATGGATGCGGTTGCAGAAATCAGTCGGCTCCTAAGCCTCTATATACTATCATAAACCGACAAAAGGGATCTTTCATCCACTATCTCCGTGCAACATCTGCAAGCTTGCTTTTGGAGGCTGCCTCACAAAGAATTTCGACTAATAATGGCTCGTGCTAGCTGCTAGCTTAACATGAAACGACCTCCCTTCCCTACCCGTGTTCAAACGGCCTCTATGCTTCTCTCGGTGAACTTGATCATCATGTCGTTTGGGGTCAAGTCCTCCACACCTGCTGACGATGCATCTGTCAGAGCCTAACGGAACTGATTGCCATGCTCCACATGACGATAAACATACCTATGTAGTCATGGGACGTCAAGAAAGCACATGCCACATGATGTGCGTGTGTGTATAACCAGTGCCCACTTTGCCAAACGTCGTTTTGCATCGTTGCATCATAGATGAATATCATTTACATCCGTTTACATGGCATTTCATGCAACAGAACATCGCTGAACACCCCACCACTCCGCCAGCAGGAACCATACCAACTGAGGCACTGACCTTTTCGACTGTCCCATTCGCTGGTGATCTTGTGGATCTGCCGTGTGCCGCCGCCTTCCGGTGTTTGTCCAATCGAATACACGAAACAAATTGGAACAACTATAAACACAAAACAGTCGACATCCATTGCCAATTTCTTTCCCTACCCTTCCCTCCGACTCTTCTGCAAAGTCCGGTGGTCGAAACATCAAAACAGGTCATGACAGGTCGCACATTACAGGTCGCACATGAAGCTCACGACTGGAACGACCACATTTTTTTAAACATGTTTTCTGGCAGAACGATAGGACCGTTTTGGATGACTGGAACAAACACGAACAATTGTTGTTCTTAATGGAAATCTTGAGATGAGTGTCTGAGCTAGCAGGACTCGGTCGCTGCATGCCCTGGATGGCCTCCTTCATATGGTGGTCTGAGCTGAATGGCGACACAATAGCTATCCTCAGTGTTTCAAACTGACCTCTCACTGCAAAATGATTCTGGGCAGCTTCCAGCTAGGCATTAATCTGCAGTCAACTCAGGGCTCACATAGCAGTTTCTGGCCACTGCAAACAAAGCATCTGCTGTCTGGTAGGTGTAGATGTGGCTAAACTCCTCTGCTTGGGGCTGAGGTGACTCGACACACCAGCAAACACTACCAATTGCTAGCTGCTAGCAACATGCCGCACGACAACTGGAACACCAGCGAACACGGACTTCCCACCAGGACCAGCTATATATATATATATTGTATATTATCATTCCCTAACTACCGCGCCATTCTGCCTCTACTTTCACTGGCCAATGCTCAAATTGAAACAATCAACCGTTTGGTGTGCTTGAACTTCTTGTGACACGCTAAGTGACTGATTAGTTCTCTTGGCCAAGACATGTTCAACAATAACCCAGGCGGTCTGCGTCAATTTTGTACTTGCACACACTGTGCAAGGAAAGTCGAAAAAAACAAAACGCAAGGTCTGACGGTCCAACGATTAAACAATAGAAACTAAAGAAAAAGGACGCTACTAGGGGCTCCTGGCCTTACTAGGAACAAGAAGCTACGAACGGGGCTCCTGGCATCGCTACACTTCACAAACACCCTTGATCCAACTGCTCAGCCCGGTCCCGCGGAGGTCCAAGAACACCGTGCGTCTCCATGGCACTCAAAATGGAGCAAAACTGTCGTCTGAAACCAACATCCATTTGCTAACTAGTAACAAGTGCCACGCTAGTAGTAACAAGAAGCTATTAGAATTAAATAGGGATGGCTGCATTGAATGAAATTCACTTCAATGAACTCCAACGGACCTCAACGATCTTACTGCTTGGTGCGCCTTGCGCCAAGTATTTTCTTTGGCTTGCTTAATAGTGAACATCAATGAACATCATGACCGTGTACTGCAGGCGCAACCTTGGCGACCAAGGTTCTTAGAGCGAGAGCTGTGAAGCTGCGAATTGAATGTCTTTCTTTGTTTATGAAACTCCTGAGCTCATGCCGCTCTTCCGCTCTTCTTGTGCCATTTGGTAAGCACTCAGCTTGGACCGAAGAATTGCAAAATGTATCGAAATCCTGGATTGTGGATAATCTGAAGAGGACGGCCGTCTCGACATTGTTCTGACTTACATCCAAACGCTTCGCTCCAGCTTTTGGTACCATCGGTTGAGCTTTTGCGACCAAGGCCACCACAGTGATGCTAACGTGTGAGAACAAATTGAGAACATTCACTTTGCCATGTTTTTTTTCTTCGGTCCACGAGGCCTGATCTTACCACACCAAGTTTCAAGCCGCTCAAGGGCCACAATACGATCAACGAGCCACCCAATGCTGTTCAATCACGGTGGGTGTTCACAATGTGCTGTAATTGAATCGGAGTGGAAGATTTCGGGGCATGCAGCAACCATGAGTGGTGATTTCACAGTGTGATGCCAATTGGAATTAGGAAGCATGGAGGGTGAGGTTGCTGAAAAAATGAGGGAGGCCAGGGGCATGAAGTCAAGATCATCGAGGATGGAGTTGAACACTTTCATGTTTGGAATCAAGTGGAAAGCAAACAGTTGGCTTGTTGATTCTATTGATTACCTTAAAGCCTCTCACACCTGCCGGCTACTGCTACTGTACGATGTTGCTCAATGTTGCTCAGGTAATGAGTGTTCTACATCGCTCACAATGCATTGCATTTAATGCAACTGAAGAGGTGCTAGTCTCAATACAATCGGACTTTGTTATATATGGCCTGCTGGGGCCAGAGAAACATATTGACAAGAAGCTGTCAAAGAAACACCAATAATGACAAATGACGAACAAGTTGTCAGAGAAATAAAGCATGACGACACAGCTGTCAAAGAAAGAAACATGATGACGAAATCTGACGAAAAGTTCTCAAATAAACAAAAAAAATGACGAACAAGTTGTCAGCAATTGACAGTGCTACAGTCACATTTTGTAAACAGTATCGAATTTCCCCTTTCACAACACTGTTTCGGTGTGAAGTAGGAACCTCTGTATGTTCTGAATTACACGACCATTATATCAGGTATATCAGGTATATAAATCAGGTACTGTAAGTTCATTGAACATTGATGATAGTGATGGGTCGAAGCGTGCCTTTGTCATCCGTACATAAGTGACGCTGTAGGAAGTGCATCGACAAAACGAAACTTCTTCTGCAGCCAATTCCGTCCCAGTAGATGCTCAAGGGAGGCACATGGAGGCAACGTGGGTCAACAATTCGTGGATGATTGTGCGGGCACGTCGGAACTGCTTGTAATTTGTTTTGCCATGTTCAGCCGTGTGGCATCTTTTGGCACGAGCCTCTTCAGCCATCTTCAGCCTCTTCCCTTTGGAGGCACAGCTCTTTCGCTGCAGGTCTAGACCTCACTGCTCCTTCTTCTCATCACCTTGAGTAACGACGGCCGGTGTCAAACTGCTGGGGTTTAGGATGTATTGGGGTCTTTAGTCTTTAGCGTTCTTCTCGGTTCCAGATTTCACTGGCGAAATAGAACAGGAAGGAACTCTTATCATTTCCCTGCAGCCCTTGGCTGCAGCGCCACATATGCTCCTCTGCTCCTCCCGCCTGGCAACTCACCGAGGAAGATCGCAATGAACCTTCCGAAGCTGCGAAACATCCGGTCTGCTCAGCTGCTGTTGAGAAAGGGATCAAACTATCATTTCCCCGCCGGCAAACTAACTGCACGCGGATGACCTAGGTCACCATCATTGCAGTGAGTACCACCAACACCAATGCAAGCGAGAAGCAAGAAGATGACCGCAAAGTCTATGTACAAATCAGACAGGTTCCAGAAGAATGATGTATTGACCAAAGGGCCGTGTGTCTGCAACAACAAATAGTCAATCACCTTGGTTCGTGCAATACCAACGCATTCAAGAAGGACTCATAGCCCCCAACGCATCGAGGGCTTAGAAGATCGACCTTCTTTTGGGACGGTTGATCAGCTAAACGGCCTCGTGCACATGGTAAACGGCTATGTGAAGTGCTCACACCAATGCCACCCAGTAAGAGTGGATGCTTCACACCCAAGATCGGGATAAAGGTTCATAGACAAACGCAACTTGGATGATCCTGACCACTTCATCTATAATATATACAAACAAATGAAACCACCCCCACTTCAAGCAGGATGTCATCGAAACAAGCAAACACCTTTTTTTGGTTTGCCAACGACGTGCTCCAACTTTTGTCTTCATGGAGATTCAAGTAGCCTCACAGGAGTGGATAAAATGGATGCAGCCACAACATCGTCTTATATGGGGCCCGTCTCAAACATACTCAATATAATTACCCAAACCCAGCTGTTAAACATTCTCAACCTGGGCCTTTGGTGATCAAGGAGCACCACCAACGTAGAGGCGGTCAGCCATGTTTCCAACACCGCCTGCAATTAAGAATATGGTGCCCAGGAGACCACACCTGCCATTCATTCACACGCACATGCTCTGAATCAACAAGAAACATCCGGTTGAAAACATTGTTTTTGATTGTCGGAATACTTCGGATATTTAGCTCAAAACAGGTGCAACACAGCTGGCAACTCCACCTGCTCTCGGTCTTCCGCAGCAGCCAAACAAAGACGCATGTCGCCAACACACCGCAGGCAATTGTCCTCAGATACTGTGCTGTGGGAGAGTCCCTGAAACACTTGCAAACCACAGGCAGTTTTCCACAGCCGAGGTTCTTGTTGTATACTACATCAAATTTCGACTTGCAAGCTATCTAGGGTTGAACTGATCCAAATCCAAAGAAAGCAACACTCTCGGCCATAAATTGGCAGCTTAGCATCACCTTGATCCCGATTGGTCCTTGCTTCGGCAATAGAATGCGGCAAATCTGTCTTGAGCTTTGTTCATACATGCATATATCCAAGCAGTTGTGTATCAAACGTGCAGTGAGAAGCGCATCGAGCGTACAAGTCATGGCATCATGGCACACAAGTCACTGCCATCTATATAGACTCCTCCAACGTCCAACAGATCCAACAGGCTACACAAAATCTAAGTGGTCTCTAGAATCTAGAATGTTGGAAGCAATTCAGCACTGTCTCAAATATTCTCAAATACCTCTTCAGGCACTACAGCCATGATTCTGAAACCTGTAACCGTAACCATGCTGTGTGGACCCTAGCCATCCCACGACCGCTCAACCATCAAACGACATCCTAGGCTGATGGTTTCATGTATATACTTGTTTGAATTTGTGATATTTTTCCAGATTTCAGACCAATGGCAATCTACCGCAGTGGTCGGTTGAATGAATGTCCTCTCAAAAACAAAGCAGAACCGCATATTCTGACTCTTGACATCTCTGAATTCTGGTCGAGGTTCCCAATGCACTTTGCAGTGAGGGTGCCCAATAACCAATCGCTGAACCTTCATTCAAATGGTATCCACATTGAATCCTCGCGTTTTGGCTCGGCGAGCAGGATCTTTCATGGACAATCACCAAATGGGTATGATCTCAAGCAAGGGTGAAGGCTAGTAATATCTCGGGTTTGTACAATGATTTTCATCTTGATTCCTTTTGACACACATCACGCAATGATGTTCCGGCAAATATCTCATCCAAATCTTAGCCAGATTCACCATACCACCGGCTCCTCAAGGTCTGCGAGCGGAACTCCAGATCTAACAGTCGGCCCACCATGGGCTTCTGATAGGAACGCGCTTTCAAGTAGCCCTCACCGGCCAGTCACCCAGTCGGCCAGCCACACTGACTCGGCTTCTCTGGGTGAACGAGTGACACGCAAGCAAAGGTCCCCCCAGCTTCGTTGGGGAATAAAGCTCTTGAGTTGAAGTTCAAGAGTGCTACGAAATAGTGTTGTAGCATGTGATGGCAATTTAGGGATAATTTTGCGTCACAACTTTGGGAAACGTCAAATCATCATTAGGAACAAGGACGCTACTAGGAGCAAAGGGCATCCCTACTAGGAACAAGGACGCTACTAGGGGCTCCTGGCCGTACTACTAGGAACAAGAACTCATTTTGACCTTGGCCAAATGTGCCCCCCACACACCGCACCCCAGTTCGATCGCAGCAAACCTCGGGCACAAGCAGGGTCGGTAGCAACAGCCAGTAATACCACATGGCTCCAACAGCGCATGAATAAGAGAAGCAACAAAATGTTGGCTGAGGGAAGGAAGGAACTCTGATTTTTCTATTTTGGTGTGTGATTCGATCTGGACATTCCAACATCCTGGCCACGCGAAGGTCTGAAGCAATCTCCTTGGTTGAGTCCTTGTGGCTGCTCATGGACATGGTCTACACCAATGCTGGTAGACGCTCATAAAAGGTAGCCTTTGAAGCTCTTTGATGGCACATCCTCTAGATCAATCATGATCAACTTGCTATAGCTCGAGGCTAAGCTCGCCCCATATTTCTGTGCTGGTTTTGATGCCGCTACAATAGCTACATCCAGACTTGAGCACAATGCAGCAACATGACATCCTCTTTGAGCTTGTGCACAATATGGATTCCTCCGCTTTGAGTCACAACAAGGACTCCTCCAAGCCATTGAAGCATTGATTCCTCACATCCTGAAGGGTCAACAAACCACTACCGACCGCAGCAACTATAACATACTATAACTGATCTGGGGCACATGCCACTGCCTTGCTTGGATTCTTTCCCCAAACACATGGACCACATCAATCCCTGGAGGCTTTGCCTTGGCTTGGGCGCCTTGGGTGATTCCTACACGTGACTCCAAGTGCAGTTTAAAGGTTACTGTAAGACAAGAAGTTGCAAATGGTGCAAGAGATCTTTAATTTCATCGGCAATTGTATAGTTGAAGATGTCTATTGCCATGCATGGCCATGTATGTTCCGAAAAAGATCTGAGTTCAGGGGTTGAATTGCCAATCTTCACGAACCTACCGTGCCAATGGTTTCTTTTTGGTGTTTCATGCTGCTTGCCACAAAGAAAGACCCCGTGCCGAAGTTGCAGTGTCGTTGCAACCATGACAAACGTTGTCACCCTATGTCCAACTCGACTCTGTACCTCTCCCCATATCATCGTAGCAACAAAGAAAACCACATACCCACGCAAACACTTACTTCGACTATCAGCCAAAAGCCATGATTTATGGCCACAATATGATTCTTTGGTGCTCAGCAGTACTTGTTCTGCCCCGAGCAATCACATGATTGCTTTTACCGACCAGTAGAGCTCCATGCACCACTTTGCATTCATCCTTTTTTGGCGGTCACAAACTACTTTTGTTTCAACGAGCTTTGCAGCCCCTTGGCACAATCAGAAGTTCCTTCGTTTCCTTAGATTAACAGACCCAAAACGCATCCCAATGATGCACGCAATAGTTCGCTGTCAGCAAATCTAATCTGCAAGGAAGCCATCTATGACTCTTCTGAAGAACATTGTCATTGTGATGTACGAGTATCTGCAAAAGCTTAGCATAGAAAAAGGACGCTGGAACAATATTTTGGAGTGAGACTCAGCATCAGATTCATTTTTACTCCAACTGATGGAGACTTCTTGGCCAAGCGTCTGCTGTATTGGCCATACGAAGAAATTAAGCGATCTTGACCTGGGCGATAGTCTGAAGACGTTCTGATAAAACGAATCTTGAAGTTTTAGAGAGCCATGCAACACAAAATCCGATTAACACTGTTGACGCGCATGAAAATCTGCACGTTGGCAAAGGCTGAGTGGCCCTGGTAGTTTCTTGGATGGAGCATGCTGCCTTCGATTCAAGGTGCAATTGTATTGAGCACTCTTTTGGGTAAAGGAGTTCGTGGACATGGTGTTGGCTTCTAAAGAAAGTTCATGTGTGGGCGAGTATCGTCCTTATTTAGCAAGAGTCAGATGAAAAAATGGTACCTTGTCAACTACTATATGGTACCTACAAAGAAAAGACACACAGAAAGAAATGCTCTCAAATCCACTCCCTGGCCGACCCCGAGTCAGGTAGTCCTCACAGCGGCTCAAGGAGTTGGTTTCGCAGAAAACACGCAAATCTACACCGGTGAAAACTAACATTTTGGCCACACAAAAAAATACCTTTTTTTGGGGCATATGTTCGTTTAGTTTCTGAGCAGACACCGTTGAGACTAACCTAGACCAATTTCAGATGTGCCATGGTGGGCCCTACGGGTACTTGGCATGGTCCATGTTAGCCTCCACCGGGCCATGTTGACCTCTACCGGCGCGGTCTATGTTACCTGCGTTCAGTTTATAGTCAGAGTGCAGTTGGTCCATGTTAGTGTCAAAATCGATCATAGACTGAGAATGGGAACGGTCCAATGTTAGTGAGGGTCGAGAAATTGCCAAAAAAGGCGCTAATACCGTTTCCCCAGGAAGTCACCGTTTCCAGTGGTCCATGTTAAAGCGCACTTGAAATTGAGTTACGGTCTATGTTGTTGTTTTTCGGAGTAACTCGACAGGTCTAAGAGTCTAACATATTCTAAGCATGGTCTAAAAATGGTCTAGAGTCTATGGTCTAAAGTCCCACAATGACGGCCCAAAAGAACCCAGGACAACACTGAACACTCGTCCAACGAGGTTTGCCACGGCCGAAAAAAAGCGCGTCCAAAGGTCTGAAAGCGAAAAAAGAAACGGCATGAGAGTCGACACGAGCGACAAGTCCGACACGAGCGACAAACGGATCTGAGGAAGGGACAAACCAAGGTTGCCTTGAAAGCAGGACGATTACCTCACCAAGGATTTCGGAGGAAAGGTCGGCACAAATCTTTGGCACAACATGAACTAGGACAGATGCCCTACTGGAGAGCAACATGAAACTCTGATTTCAGATTGTTTTGCAACTTTGCAACAGCTGAGGGTTCAGGTCTAGTTCCCTCAAGGATAAAGCTTTGCAAGCCAAGCTTCAAGTCGCTTCCCACCATCTCTGCAAGCGTTCAAACTCTTTGTCTTTGGGCATCTCAAGTCCTGACTGCAAACCACTTGTTGGGAACAGTTGAGCAGGCATTGCTTGAATTCTGAGTTCCGAAGCAAACATGAGCTACAAATTGCTACACCGTGGACACACTTCAGTAAGCTTAGATTGAGCTACAGCTTCCTCAGATCACAACTTATCACAAAATATATCGCCAACCTGTGGACCAACATCAGCCTGCCTATCGACCGACGTCATACCCACAGGCTCACAGGTGACACATGCTGACACAAAGATGCTGTCTGAAACACTCCTCGGTAGTGACGACCAACCCAAAGAAATCGCTGCCAAAAGGGGAAAAGAGCGATGTCCACCATGGAGATCTCCTTTCCAAGGAAATACGGCCCATCCTGCACCCAGCACGAAAGCAGGCTACGCGCGCGAAATGGACACGTCGATTCTGCTTGTGCTGAAGGTTATATCGCAAGCAACTTACTGAACTGGTCATATCGTTCTGTCTTCCCAAATCGGACTCGTCGCAACAACAAGCAGTTGCAAACGTTGCAGCAGCCATCGTCCAAACACTCGACATGACCCTGTTGGGTTTTCCACAAGCTTTGCGAACCAACAAACCATCCGGCCACCTGCCTTGCTCATTGCTCTGGCGAAGGTTCGACATTCCTGCGGAGAAACAATGAAAGAAACCCAGCGGGAGGGTTTGCAGCAACAACTTGGCAGTCAAGATGGCAAGGCTGTGGGACAAATGGCTGACAAATCTGATTTGGTCAAAACCATTGGTGAAACAAACGAGCTGCATGTCTTCATGAAACATACATGTCTTGGAGTCTTTGAGCTCGCACTTGGAAGCCAAATAGGCCTTCCTAGGTGGAAGGACCTGGAAAACGCTCCTGGAAAAAGACATCCTTTGCTTTTGCCTGGGCCGCTGGGTCTTGATCCATCAAGTGCACGTAGAAATTCCTCAATGAAAGCCCGGAGAGGTAAGATCGTGTTTGCGTGCGATGGAAGATGCGTGTGGGGAACTTGACAAATCTCACCGAGATCGCCTACTGTAAAGTAAATTGGTGACAAACATACTGGCACGCTGCTTCTTGCCATCAGCCCAAGTATCCTTTGCATCTTCTCAGTCACAAAGTCAGACCATATCCGCACATGAGCTCGCTTGACTGGGTCATTGCGAGGCAAAAAGTAGGGAGGATGATCAAAGCGTTCGTCGATGTACCTGAACAAATTGGCAAACAAAGGAATACAGTTCCTCTGGCAATGAGACCTTGCACTGCCTTTGAGGCTCAACTGCGACTTTGGACCATGCCTTCATAAAACTGTTCTTAGACAGGGCTGGCAATATTTTTGCAATAGCTGAAGCTCAAACAAGTTTCAGCCATGCGAAAAGACACGTACGTGGATGTTTTAATTTGAACTCCATGATCATAATCCTTTCAACAACTCATCTGCTAGAGTTTTTGGCTGTGCAGGGTTCCCAATTTTGAGACAAACCCAATCCAAAACATATACTAGATGATTATGATGATTATCCAGTTATAAATGTATAATTGTATAATCCTATTACCAGTAACAGTGGATGATGATGGTTACTAGGCCTTGTTCAAAAATAGTTGCAATTATATAATTGTTTACTGACTGTTACAGGTAATAGGACAGGCCCAAACTATACATACCATGTATCTAATCTTGATTCCCAACTCATCACATCTGGGTCACTGGACCACATGGAGGGACTCCCAGACCTTGTCGCCGTTGCAGTCCACCGAGGGGACCAAGCCGCGCGGACTGCTGGCGATGAAGTCCGGGTACATGGCCTGCATCAGGCACCAAGTTTCGGCATCAAACTATGATGGAAACTGTGAAAGCGGTGTCACTGTCACAAATAATGGGATGCCAACATACATGATACTAGACTTATGTAATTAATGCACACCAGTCAATCAAGCACCACAAGGCATCACAGTCTGAAAGATCCATCTTTCGCCTTTCACCGTTGAATTCTTGATACCCACACGTACCCACATAACCGTTACCTACATAACCATTTGACTCTGTGCACCAAGCCAAACAATCAAGCAACAACTTGGGACAGAAAAAGGCACCCAAACTTTAAAGCAATTGGTGTAGACATGTGGGGACCTTCGATCAGCCGGGAGGATGGCCATATTGAGGTCCATGCTGACTGGCGAAGCTTTGTGGACGAAACTGCCACAAAACAACCTACACGAAGTGCCGAGTGCCTTCTTGACCTCCAAGGGGAGCTGCTTCTTTGTGTAGCCTCCTGCTGGCCGTTTGTGGCGTTGAACCAAATTTTATGAAGCGCTGCTCTATCCGTACAGTCAAATCGAGGCTGAGTGAAACTCAGGAGCACTTGGAGGTGATGACATCAGGACACGGGTGCACCCCTGATTTGCAATCTCTAGAGTCTCTAGAGGCTACCCCCCCTACAAACCGCATCTTCCATACTTGCTGCCTGTAGTCAGTGTACTTCACCGCGAGGTGCCAATGCCAACTAAGTGTATAATCAAGATTCCTTGCATTCCTCAAGAAACCCTTTTGGAAGCCGCTTGCATTTCTGGCATGAAACACATGTACTGTTCTGTTTGAATGAACACACAATGACTCCCACATCATGCTACGAATATCATGGAGTCCATGGTTGCATCCGCACTTATGGGGGCCTTGATGGACAAGCATCCTGATTGCCCTGCGGACTTTTTTCCAGTGTCGCCAGGCGCTTCGTCCTGCAAGACTATGACGAAAATTGGCCACTCTATTGATGGCCACTCGCTAAGAAGTGAACTCTTGAACCTCACAGACTGACCATTCAACATCTGGATGTAGGACTTGTGATACCTAGGCTTAGCTATAGCTATGCACACCCATTAAAATCCTCCCACGGTATCCCATGTGGCTAGTCTGCAAGATTCGCTTTCTGGGACGGGAGTTCTCTACGCCTTGCTTCTCGCAGGTCCAACGATCCTCGACGTCGATCCTCTGAGCAACTCCGGCGGTTGATCCGGGCCTACGCTCTCATCGTTTGTGAGGGTCGAAGTCCCCACGGATCTGGTGCTCGATGCTGCCTGCACAACATTTGACACCTAAGGCCGCCTACGGCCGACCTCTGAAACATTCTGGAAGTCCGTCTGTCGCATATTTCTAAGAGGTTGTCTGCATTCTTCACGCTGCGCTGCAACATCGTTTGAAGATACAACAAACAAACCGTGCAACAAACGCACACTTCAACTATATTGACTATATAAGCAATACACAAAACATCACAAAACATCACAAAACCATGAACAGCTCTGTGCCATTCGATCTCAGCAGCAGTGATAGGCCAGCTCAATAATGGTTCCCTGCCCGCCGCATGCGGAGGGCCAAACAATCACACCTCGCTGGTTGACACTGCAACCAAGTCGAGCACTTTGCTGAGAAAGAATGAGAAATCTATCGGTTCAATTTCTGTTGATGGTATTCAATGGTATAGGAAGAAGAATCCCAGATCATATGGGGCAACTTTGGCAATCACCTCAGTATCTCCAGTGTCTTGAATCCAACCTGGCACAGATTAGCACAGGATTGTGCGACACAAAGTATCGCTGGATGTGTCTCGTCAAATCGGCGAAAAGGCCTCTCTGGAGCAAACAGTCGGGGCAATAAGTGGGGCTGGCGCTAAGGATGACACTTGCATGGTCAATGCTTCCTTTCTCCTTGGATGTGTGGAGAGAAATGACCAACCATGCAGGTCTGTCTGTTCTTCATGAAGAAACTTCTGAAGATGAGGAAATCAACAAGTCCAACAAGCCAAAAGAAAGAACATGAAAGGAAAGGACAGGAACAGGAAGGAAGGAAGGTCAAAGAACAACACACAAAAAGAGAACACATAAAGCCACGAGCCTATGCACACAAAGACAGTCAAAAATGAACTTCTAACCTCTTCGATCCTTCTCGTCACTGCTACACCTGTATCCAAACCCGCTTTGGAGGTCTCTCTCCACATCCAGGCCCTTCACCAAGGGTCCATGGCCAGGCTGAAGACGTCCGGAAAGCCTGAAGCAAACATGGCAGAGCCATGGCAGGGGAGGTGTCCATGATGCCAGCCACTCTTGCCACAAGTCATCTTTTCCTCAGAGTGAGCGTGAAGTAGATTACGAAATCGTTTGGTACGTCCTGCCTGCCACTTCTTTGGATGATGTTAGATGATGTGATGGTGAATGTCACAAAACAAGGAGTGTCCTTTCTGCGGAAAGAGCTTCCACCTTGCTTTTCAGGTCCGTGGCGTACTTGCCCTGGTAGTGAAAGAAGTGAATGTGGAACCTCAGCATTGCAATGAGGGGCGACGATGTCCGTCCAATTAAGCAGCAAGTTACAGGGCGGTCAAGATTGAACAATACGGACTGCAGATTTTGGTGGTTTTTGCACGAATTTGAGAAGGCAAACGAAATGCATATCCCTTCCTTCTAGTGTAGAATCGAACTCTCCAATTTGTCTTCTATCTCCAGAGTTCGGTGATTGGTCTTCTCATAGGGTCAATCTGCGGGTGCAAACAATTGCCTGCGATTCTCTCCGTGCGGATGAGTATGAGATTGAACACGAAAGAACTGTCTTTGCCTCATGTCTTGGATCTGACTGATTACTTGATCTTCCAAACATATTGCAATTGCATTGCAAGACAGGAAATCAACATCTTGAAGATTCTTGAAGCCATTCTTAAGTTGAGTACCAAACTCCATGAATTGGACGCCCATAAGAGTAGGCTAACAGTTAGTTGGAGTCCAAAAGCAAACACTAAAGAAAGCATTCGTGTCTGTTGAATCGAAGGAGTGACCAGGGGTCTCCAAGATCGAACCAATGCATCCAAGACAGGAGTAAGATCCTTATCCCCGAAGTCCATGGGCGTGACTCATCAGTCCAGTTTGGGTGTCACTGACTAAGGCGAGGAGGTGACTGTCTTCAGTCCATGAAAAACATCTCCTGTCCATCGGAGACTGCTGTTTTCCTGTTGTCCAACCAGTAGCTTCTTGTTATTAGTAGTACTGCCCTTGTTACTAGTAGCGATGCACCTGCTACTAGTAGCTTCTTGTTATCTGAGCCCAGTGACTGTTCCACTGTCCGATGATGCATCGGATTGACGATCAGCGCACAATTGGCGTCGCCACAGCGCCCTTGGGCGGCCCGCATGCCGGCATCGTAGTAGCCCACATCCTCCTCGGTGATATCCTGCTGGGCAACATGTTGAGAAGCTGAGCTGAGAGGTTTCTCAAATAGCACATAAGTATTTGAGTAATTGCATCTAGTCAACCTAGTATGTCAAACTTAAGCTTTCTTGCAGAATATCACAACATGCAGAAAGAACCATAGACACGCACACACACATATATCTATATCTACATATATATATATAATATATAGAAAACACACATATATATATATATAGCACAAATAGCTCCAATGAAACCAACCAAACGACTGCACAGTAGCAACATTACTTGCACTCAGTGCGCCATGATGTGGCAGTTTCAGGCACGAATTTGCTCGAACACATCTCAAACCATTCTTATTCTTCGCGTTGATCTGGACGAGCAACAGGAAAGACCTCTCCAATCCACCCTGAAACCTTCTCCAGTCGCAAGATGAAACTTGACTCCAAACATCTCCAAACTTTTTTGTCAAGTCTACCCGCTACTAGGAACAAGAAACTACTAGGGGTTCCTGGCATCGCTACTAGGAGCAAGGACGCTACTAGAGGCTCCTGGCCTTACTACTAGGAACAAGAAGCTACTAGGAGCTTTTTCGCGCGCCTTGTGCCTACTTCATTAAGTTAAGGCTACTAGCAATAGGAAGCTACTACATATGGACGGAGGATAGATCACGCTTCTTCAAAGAAGCTCCCCCCAGTCAGCACTAATGATTTGGTTCCTAGATTTTTAGGAGACTGAACTGCTCTTTCACTGAAAGCTGGTGCAAGTGTTTACAATACCTGGCCCCAAGCTGAAGCTCCGTTCAACTTCAGTCCTCCAAACCATGGCCAGATCCCCACAGCTTATCACCTCCAGGCCACCATCCACGCCCTTCCAAGTCTGGTTCATCCTCACCCTCTGCCTGGGCATCTGCGGCTGCCGCAGCCGCCTCAGCCTTGACGTCCAAGGGACCCAGTGAAGCGAGACCTGCCTCGAGATCCGCCTCTTCCGGGTCGCTCGATCGGCGAGACCCACGCGTCTGCAAGGCGTTCAGCACACAGTGATCCGGTCGACCCGCCGCGTCGCTGCCGTCGCGGCAGTCGTCGGCCTCCTGGGCAGTCTTGATCGACAAGTCATGAGAGGTCCCTGAGCTGGCTGATTAGCTGATGAATTCTAATTCATATAGATGTATATAGCTGGTTGGCGTGAGTTCACACTCATGAATCACGCGAATGAATATGAACGAATTGCTTGCGCCTTCATCCACCATTTTGTGACAGCTTACCAGATCAGGTGAACAAAAAACAACCCGCCGGAAAGCTAACGCAAAGCCCCATGCATTTCACAACAGGATGAAGTAATTGAGTGCGGTAAATGTCCATACGTTTGAGCTGAAGGGTAGCCTGAGTGTGTTTCATCAAATGCACTGCGCTTAATGGGACAAAGAATATATTCTTTTGCGTTATGGTGTTCGGTTTTTACGCAGCATGCATTGCGCCATAACAACGGCCGGGCAACACTCGCACCTTTGTTCTGCGTACGACTTCAGAGTCTCAACTGTTGCTTCGAGAGCTCTTTGGCGCAACATTCAAACATATTCTCAAGAAGAGACACTTGGACGCGCAAAGCTAGGAATTGCACACATTAATGACATGATTACCACTATGCGTTCAGTTTCCGACCCGGTGGCAAAAACAACTGTCTAGCTCCAAACCTGCCTGGCAATATATCCGAGTGGCTGAACAGAAATGCAATAGAATCAAACAAATCATGACAAATCAACCGTGGTGGAAAGCATCAAACCATGAGTTTGAGACCAGCTGCGAGGGCCAGTTCAACATCGTCTGCAGCCACTAAGGCCGCCAGCAAAACTATTCGCCACATGGCCATGGCACGACAAGAGAGCGCCAAAACAAAGTGGCTACAAAGACCGCCACACACAGATCCGCAATGATCTGCATCAAATGGAATGGAAGTCAAACGCCTCTGAAACACTCCCCAGGATGTAACTAACCTCTTGTTGGTCCTTTTCCCGGTTTGAACATATCCTGACTCACACCCAGAACCAATCAAATAAAGCATCCCTTCAAACAGCCAAATGGGATGTTGGTCTTGGGTTCCACCAAGGTGACCTGGAGCTGGTCCTTTTGGTTGGCCAAAGTCGACATGTCAAGCCTGGAAGTCGATCATCCACCTCATAGGGGTTGATCTCAACATAGGAGTAGTCCAGTTGCTTTTCCTCAGCGAAGGCCGCAAAGAGGTGCAGGAATTTCCCTGATCTCTGCCGTACCGATGGACAACATTTCTGGGTCAATGTTGCAGCACACTTTCCAAGAAAAGGCTAATTCAGTTGTTTGATCTCTGAAGCTTGAGGACGCGCAGCATGCAAGTGATTCACTCCAACATCCAGCTTTGCTATGAGTATAAACTTGCACATGACATGGTGCTGCTCTGATAGCTGACAAGTGCCAAGTCAGAGCCAGTTTCCGGGACATCTCTGTACTGAACAAATTAACTATGTGGCCTTGAATAAGCTCTTCAGCGCTATTCAGCATGTATAGAACAAGCAGCAAACACATACGTTTGGTGTCCTGAGCTCTCTTATGGCAAGGCTCTTCCACAGCAATCCACGCTCGTTGCGCAAAGGGGCAAAACCAGGACGTGTAAAGCTTCAATGGCAAATCCTGCGGGCATGCGGAAGTGTTGCTGACCCACAGCGATGGGCTCTTCCACGTGTGATCACAGTTAGCTAGAAGCAGCTAGAATCCGGATAATTAGATCAGGTGCGCAGCTGCCACGTTGCCACGTTGAGTAACTTCACAGGAAATCACGCAAAGGTACACCGAGAGCAAATTTGAGATCAAGCTCCAAGTCTCATGGATAACCGGGAAGACGCTCACGTTTTCGGGTCCATCCTTCGGGGCGGCCACGCGCTTGGCAATCGTCCTCTCCTTCGTCCAACAAACTGCGTCTTCAACCACAGTGGTCTGGCTGCTCTCTGGACAGTTGTACTAGAATGGAGAGCATGTTTTGACATTTCTGCAATTCCAAGGATTCCCAAGGCAATGAATCAATCAGAGATCCTAAAGATTTAGCCACCTGAGCTACCTGTGTTCCTGGATGGCGTCTTGCTGCCAAGAATCTCCATGGGTTTCCACCCAGCTGGGATCCCACAGTGCATCACGGCTGGTTTGCGCAGCCTGGCACAGCTGACTAATAATGTCACCATGGAAAATCCTTTTCGAGCACAGTGTGACATGTGCAGGCAAAATGGTCTTGCTCTAGTCAATGTCTTGAATTCGATATTTTCCCTCAACTTTCTTTCGATGCACTCTTCACTGCTTCAGTTCTGAACCGATGGAGGTGTTGATTTTGTTTTGTGCACCTAGGTGATTCCTTGCCGAAGCCGTGACAAAAAGGGAGAATGGACAGGAAAAGGTTTGAGGTTTCGACCTGCAACCAAGGCCTTGACGTTCTCTGCAACAAGACTGGCTCCTGGAGTCTGGGCATCCCAGTAACGTGGAAAGCAATGAGAGCAAATGTAGATGTGGCCCATGTGGCATGCCTCAAGCTACTGAGAACTTTGACATGGCATGTTCAAAGTTAGAAAAGGGTGGAAAGGGTAATTGAGATGTGAGCTGACAGGGCGACTTCATGTCGAACTTTTGGATGTTTTGTGTTTTTGTGCTTAGCAAGTGACCCCTTGCGCCTTGGAAGGACAAGCCGACAGCTCCCAGGGCCACTGGTGCCACACTTTTAGCCTGACACTGCGGCACCAAAAAGTACCCAGCAATCCACTCCCACTTCACCAACTCCTCAACTTAATAATACATGCGTCTCTGTTTGAGTGTAGATGCACATAGGAGGACATAGCCCGCGTTTCACCCATCAGCCCATCAAATGTATATATGCACTATGTGTGTTGAGACGAATCTATCGTGACACGTCATCGAGGTGTGAGCTCCGTCATCGATGCAACACGACGTCAGTCGGAACAACCCCGGGACGCTTCAGGACGCTTCAGGACGTGCCGATTCACGTGCCGATTCATCGAACAGGAGGAACACGACGCTCATCTGGGGCCAAACCGGTCATCTGGGGCCATTCCTCGACCCGTCAAGGCCCGACCCGTCCTTCCGGAAAGCTGCACGCATTCTTCGCTTAAACAAGCACCAAATGACTTATGCTACCGTATACTACGCTTGTGTAGCTATGCTCAGTGTTCCTGTCCCACATACACAAGGGCAACATCACTTAGATACTTAGATTGTAATAAGGTTCTGACACAAACTGACGTGGAATATCATTGGAAACCATGCTTATCCCATCTTATCCCTGGTTTTGCGACATAGTCCTTGAAGGTTTTGTTGACATGGTCTGTGTCCTGAATTGGCAGCATGTTTTTGTCTTCCCCACTCTGGTGGTCTGATCCAAAGGGCTTGGTCGAAAAAAACCATCTGCCTCTGGTTGCACGGTCTGCTATTCTTCCAGCTACAAGAAGACCTAACACTTTAGAGAATGCTCAAACAAATGTGGCACTGGCATTCTTAAACCCCCCATTCTCGTGTCCACCCGCCATCTGATGCAATGTACGAGATCCCCAAATGCATAGACAATCCCTTGTTCCCCGTATTTCCTGATGCAACCTGACCACTGGAAAAGAACATCATGCCATGCTCTAGAATGTCTTGGCACTTCCTGATGCTTGGTGCATCTTGGTACCACAGCGGTGGATGGCTTGTTGGCCATCAATCAGGCCTCAGGTGATTCTGGAAGCGTCATCTATACAAACTTAGAAAGAGATTCAACAAATGTCATGATTGCAATGATTGCAATACGTTGTTTCAAACACCAGTCCCTTTCGAAACATGAGGGCCGTCTTCTTGCTGTCTTGCAGAACTTGTGCCCTGTTTTGCTTGAAGGCCAAGGTTTTTTTAAAACATCCAATCCCTGATGCCCAAACACAGAAAGTCAGCTCCGGGCGCACTGCGAGCAATCCTTTTTCTTTTTGAAAAGTAGTATATCCTCCCACCCAAGTTAGTTTGCATGGATCCTTGTTTGGTCTTTAAACATATATTTTTTAGTTTGCGAAATCCGATCCATGCAGCTGGGGATGGAAGGGTATGTGCTAAATCAAGTCAAGCTATGTCAAACCTACCTGGCTCACATTCTGTGCCGATGTGGAGTGCCAAAACTTCGCGAGCATTGCACTTGCCCAAGAACGCTGAATGCATTGGGCAAAATTACCGATGCACCGACTGAGTTCTAAATTATGAGGAGCCAAGCTTGGGCGTTCCGCGCGTTCCCCCTTCCAACAGCCAGCATACAAGCTGTACAAGTACAGGAAAAATTCGATTTCCCTGGGCTCCTTTTCTAGCTTTTCAGCCTCCCCTGGGACGCTTCAAGCCGAGATCGTTTCTAGGGGTGGTTGACTGCAGGATTGCAGTGGGTAGCAAAAGTGGGCCAAAATGCAAGTAGCACAATCGGCTTCTAGTCTGGGATTCTTCAGCCAACTTCAAGGGAGCTTTGTGTTGTTTGGACATATTTGGACAATGTGTGATCTATATACAGTAGATCTTGACACAGTTTCTCGGTACACCAAGCATCTCCAAGGATTTGCAGGCCATCTCGCGCAAGCTCCCGCGGGCTGGACACCACCGGCCAGCAAAAACTGTGCACTTTGGACTTTTTACTTCAGGGTCCAAGTTATGCAAAACGTTGTACAGCAAAACGTCAAGGGGACCCTCCAAGTCTTCAGAAGCACTAGCTACTGTTTAGGAATCCTGCCCCCTCTTGAAACAAAGCAACTTTATATGGTAAGGGCTCTGAGCAATCACCATGATACTCCGTGTCACTGGACGATTTGAATTGTTAGTATGATGCGACCTCACTTGTTCACTACGCAGATTCCCTCTCTCAATCGACTTACGATCACGGGAAAGACCTCTTCAAACATTGACAACGACTTTGGAGTTCAGAGGGGATATAAACATACAGTATGTCCAAAAGTTGCTTTGATGTGTTACCCCCTTCGAGAGTGTTGCGCTGGGACAAGATTCCAGAAGCGACGTGTTCAGTGCGGGTAGTATTATTGTGCAGGACAACTGTTCTCTTTTGATAAACCTGGGTTCTCTGGCCATGACAAATTGGGCAAATGGCATGCAGACCGGCGGGCTCCTTTTCGGGTACCCAAAAGCAAGAGATGCCCCCCACAGCGCAACTTGATCGTTCTCAATCCTCTGCGGGGGGGCATCCTGGTTCTTGTTGATCTGCTTAAAAGTATCCTTTCCACATGATCCAGCAGTGAAAGGACAAAACATGGTGTCAGTTGTCTGACATTCTGGCAGAACCAATAACAGCTGCACATGGTAAGACTCTTGAATTGCCTCTCGCACAGAGCAGCCAACCTTTGCCGATCTTTTCTCTTGCAGTATGCAAATGAACATCCTTGTTGGCCCATGCCTCACTGCTCCATTTCGTCCTCTGAAGCCCGTTAACGGGAGGGTGGTCATCGGCCCTGACTGCTCTATACTTCGCACCTACTGATCTGGCTGTGCATCCATAGGGAGGCAATTGAGCAATGCTGTAGAATCTGCCTGGTGCTGGAAAATAAATTAGCAGTTACTTGAAGTCTCATAATGACATGTCTCTATGCATCCCAAAGTTATAGGAATCAAATATCCTTCAACCAGGTCCGTTCTTGGCATTGCCAATGCCAGGCCTCTCCAGAAAAGCTGCAACTTGTGCTATGACACCACCAGGACTGCACCTGCTCTCCTATAACGTGTGACATTCTCCAGTGTTGTCACTGTCCCAACACCACCCCGCCGCCAACACCCAATGGGGCAATATATATTTGCAAAGCCACACACTACCTTGTTTTTTGGACTATATACAAGGGCATCGCTACCAGTAACAAGGGCATTACTACTAGTAGCTAGAAGCTACTAGTAACAAGGGCATCGCTACTACGTAGTAACAAGGGCATTATAAGGACAACGTCTGAATCACAAGGTTTCGCGCTTGTTTTGTCTGGGCCTTACACATCATCTACCTGGACACGTATCAGCTTGTGCATCATCTTCCATTCGAACACATCGGTCCATCGGTGAATGAAACTACTACAGTAGCTGCTAACTTGCTTCCAAGGTGGCATCGGTCTGATCGATTCCGAATTGGTGCTTTTTTCTCACGGGACGTTGCTGAACCAGTCTCCCAGCGCAGGTCTCTGCTGAGTTGAGGGCCAATCGCCCCAAGAGTTCTCAACTGTGAAGCCTTGATGTAGGATGTGACGTATTTAGGGCAAAACAAATCTGTGAAGGCCCTTGTCCATGTACTAATTTGCTCAACTAGTGAACCTAGTCGATGACAGTAGAGGAAAAACGTGAATTCCTTCTACAGATTTACCAAACACAGTTGCAATTCTTGGCAAGAAACTTTGAGATAAATTGAGGTGTTTTGTTATTTTGATTGCAAAGACTTGAAGCGCTGTGACAAATATCCGCAAAATGCAATGCAGCTGAGGTCGGCTTTGACATGGCCTGATCACTGTCCACCGATCCACCTTTCATTCCAGTCAAGGGGAATAACACCAAAAACATTGGGCCGGGCCACACCTACAAAAAGGCTATGCAAAACTGAACCATTGTCTTGCTTACCCTCCGCTGACATGGGCCTTGAACACAGAGTTTGATTCTATGCTGTAGTTGCACTGATGAGTTCCACCAAATGGTCAGCTTCTGATTCCTTCCTTTATGATGAAGCAAGTGGAACCTTGCAGCTCTGATCTCGGGTCGTCAAACAGGTCTCCAATGGACTCCCCTTACCTTTCTGGTGGACCACGATGAACAAGTGCTTAGTCCCTCCAATAGCGCCAGGTGGTCACCTGAAACGCAGCGCCACGTGCTTTGTCGACGGTTTGCCCCAGTTCTTTGGTAGCTAAACACAGTTGCCGATGTCTCTTTATCATCACGCTTGACTGGTGTTATCATACCTTTGCCATCTTTGCCCTTTCTCATCCCGACTGGTGCTTCATACTGAATACTTGTGTGGATTCATTCCCTCATTATCCCTCATGTCCTACACCTGTCAAAACTTGTTTAAAAAACATTTGGATTTCACAAAGCATCGCCAAACCTGACATCCTACAATAAACCTCACCTGTAGCTCCCTCTCTTCAAATGTCTGCTATTGTCATCAAATGCCAACAAACAAACCGATGATCAAAATTCAACTTCATCCTAGTTTTCAAGAGCATTGACAGCATTGACCAAAGATTTATTCAGAAAACATACCTCCCTATTCGGCATCTCATTTCTTGATCCATCTTGATCAAGTCGGATTCCCTCTGTTTGCCAGTTTGCCCCTTCCAGTTCGCGCGCCCGGCGCCCCCCCGTGCGTTCGGCCGGCCTCGGCACCCTTTCCCCGTCCACCGGGCTCGTCCATGAGGGCCACGCCGCGAGAGTGCAAGAGCTGCGACGGCACCGAACGGGCACCGAGGTGCTTCGAAAAGGCGATCTTTTCTGGACACTGAAAGAATGTTTTCTTTAATTTGTGCATTAGTAATGCATTTGCATTATTCCTTTTCTGTAGAAGAAGCTTTCACAAGAGCCACCACGAGTCTGTGAAGATCTTCGGCCACAAGGGGTCCCCTGAACATCCCTGAGCTTGTAGTCAAAAAGGTACAGTGCACAACGTGACACACACACGCAGGACACAAGTACGTACGGTCTGATTGCGGTTTGCCACACGCCGACCTAGGTAAGTAGTAAGATGCCCAAGAAAAAGCCAAGTAGAGTTCAAAGTGACAAGCTCCAAATGAGGGCGACAAGTACATGTCTGCAGACTCAAAGCAGTACAAAGGCCGAGGCCAGAATATTGTTCTAGTCACAAAGGGGCCCAGAAGGAAGTAAGTGGCAAGTAATCACAGCAGGTACGTGATCAGGCGTCCCTGATGATATCCTAGAAGCATATGAGGAGCTTCGTTGGATGGAGCCTCATACGTCCTCTCCATCCCCTGCAAGTAACAACTAACCAAAAAACAAAAGGGAGCCTGTGACTCCAAGGTGTACACACACAACTCCTCACAACTCAAGATGACTCATGCCTATCTGTATACATGTAATTACTGAGAAGTTAAGTCTCCCTGAAGGGGTCCCATTGTGAAACTTCTCACCCACCCGGCCGCATCCGGCCGCCGCCCGCTCCGCACCTGGCGGATCCGATCGGCCTCCGGGAAGTTGTTGGCCCTGCGCGCCTGGCCGCAGCGTTTTCAAACGCCGCATCTGGTTGGTCACCGGAGTCTGGAATTGTCAGGTTGGTTCATCTTAGCCGTTGAGATGTAGGCACAACCTCCTATATATCTCAAAATGCAAGCTGAAACAGGTGCAGGGGAGGTAAGGTGTTTCTTCAGCTACAACGGCTCTGGAGCACAGAATATTTGTGGTTCATCGAAATTTGCTCTTCCTTCGTAGATCTACTCTATCCTTCCTTGTGAATGAAGACCCAACAGTTCTACTACTCCACACTCCCAACCAGCCCAAAAAATGAAGAACTCAGCTCATCTGGCTAAAAGCTTGATATGTTTGTGTTCTAATTTGGGTAACCTGGGCCAATTGTCGAATTCGGTGTTGGGTGTGAAATGTGGAGATTGATCAATGACGGGAACGGCACACATTCTCATTGATTGGTCAATGTCACAAGGACAACGGTGCTGCAGCATACCGGATGGACCATTGGTGACAGCTCTTGTAGCGCTCATTGATGCACCTCATTGCGCTCATCGATGAGTTTCTCAATCTCCTGTTGATCACGCAGATTTCGCACCGGAGGAATATCTGAGATCATCTGATTTCGCAAAACCAGCCAACGGTTCAACTATTCTGATCCAACATGATTCTTCAAAATAATGGGGACCGGGTCACGACACACTGGTGGTGTGGATGTACTGCTTCAGTGCACTCCACATCTAGTGACAAATGATTGCTTGATCATCATAAGACATTGGAATGATGAGGAAACCAAACATGTGATACTAGAAAACTACAAGAAGAAGCTGACCCACCCGAAGGAAAGTTTCTTTGCTGGTAACTTCCTTTCAAGGGCCATCGGTAACATCATGGCAGACTGGGGAACACCTGGGTCTCAATGCTGTCCTGCACTGGAGGCGCATTAGGTCCAGGCCTCGAGAAAGGCGGATGAAAACGGTGGAAACATCACGACCAATCAGGTGCCACCAGAAAATCAAAGGTTGACTGAGACGGCTGTGATGATTGAAGAAGCCTCAATTAGAACACAAACCAGCGTGGATCCTGTGAGGATCTCAGGCTCCGAAATGCCCAGACAGGCCTTGTCAACGTGCATTGTCATGGGATCACTTCCATCTTCTTTCACCACTAAGCAAGAACAGTAAGAACAGTTAATTAGATGTTTTATGATACATCCGTAAAACAACTGCTGAAGGCAGTACATATATTAATATATTAATGTATAATATCTTAATAGCTTTTTTGTTACTACTAGTAAGGCACCTGTTACTACTAGCGTGGCACTTGTTACTAGCGATGCACTTGTTTATACTTTGTCTTTAGATTCGATGCCCGTCTTCGGTCCCTCGGACTCGGTCTCTCCAGGCATCCCCGACTCCCCGCGGTCGATGTTACCGTCCTGGCTCTTCACCGGCTCCCTGAGTGCTTCGGACGGCGGAGCGCCCCGGGGACTTGACAGAAACACGGGCCAAATGTATCAACACATATCAACATATTCTGATTCACCGCAGGAGCTCTGAATGCTCTGATTTGTAAAGAGTTGAGGTTTGTTCACTAGTAAGGTGAGCTGCTGAAGGCACGGTCTGATCTGGGTGTGCAGGTGTCTAGAGTCGAAAATGGTCGAAGTGTCCGGGCTGTGGAGATTCCGGTGGCTACTAGGAACAAGAAGCTACTAGAGGCTCCTGGCATCGCTACTAGGAGCAAGGATGCTACTAGAGGCTCCTGGCATCGCTACTAGGAGCAAGGATGCTACTAGGGGCTCCTGGCCTTACTACTAGGAACAAGAAGCTACTAGGGGAGATCCCCGGGTGTCGAGACTTTCTTTCGGAAAACGATGGCCCAACGAGGGTTGAGATGTTGGAGCCTCGTGTGGCATGCCTCGTGTGCAACGTCCAGAAAAGGAGGCTACGCGGCTACCCTGTGGATATGGAGTACCTAGGACCCATGGTGAAAGGCTAGCTGAGTAACTGGCAGTGCAAGAGGACCCTACAGGTTAAACCAAAATGATCCAAAATGTTTGAGGCAAAGCCGAAAGCTGCAGCTGGTAAACACCGGATGTGATCTCCTGGTGCATCCTGACATGACCTGTATATTAAGAAACACTGAGGACATGCAGGGGGCGTTGCGGGATCCGTATGAAGCCAACTTGCAACCTTCCCTTTAGAGAAGTTGGGAGAAATAGGCTACTCAACTCAAAGGCCAAGTGGGTTAAATGTACATCCGGATGATCAACCCTGTACTTTCTGCTCTACTGAATCAGTATCCTCAAGGAGTTACAATACTTAACCCCCACTTGCATGTTGAAAGGGCTTCCTCCTGTTGGACAACTCCCAGAAGCAATTGGATCCATGGATCCTTGACTGGTTCAGTCAGTCTTGTCTTGGCACATTCTGAGGCCATCTCTTGGCAGATCGTGACTTTCCCTTTCGCTTGTCTTTTCCATCACCTTCCCATGGTGACATATGGGCTGGGCGGCCTTGCATTGCTACAAGCTCTTCGATTTTTTGCTATAGTATCTTATCAAACTTACTCTTGCAGTTGGTCTTGCCTTCTTTGGGGCATGTGATATGATGTCATAGACAGTTGTTCATCGAATCGGCAGAAACACATGATTTGAGAACATCAGCTTCTACGAATTCGACAGTGCGCTGATGCACGCCGCACTTTGGAATGTCAATAATGCTGATCCACGATCTGCAATGCAATGCCTTCGTCATCATCTAGGCCCATGCCCCCTGTGAAGGGCGCTTTCGAGTTATACCTTGGCTGGCTGAACAGAAAGGGAAGTGCTTTCGGTCCAAACGGAACGGGATCACAATCCAGGTTCCATGCAGGGACCAAAGTGTGAAAAGAAGCTTAGCACACTTGGATTATATATAATATAGGCGTCCAATTTTCGCGAGCCCGGCCTCGTTTCTTTTTCCAAAGTCTACATGGCATTACTTGGACCAAACATGACCAAACAATCTTCTACTCAGAGTCCAAATCGTTGCCCAACTGGACGCCAGCCAAAGGACACGAGTTGGTTCTCCGTCAAGTTGATCTGCAGATCTGGGACTGACTTTCCATTCTCCCTGCAGAACTGCCTGTACTCCTCATACCTTCGATTAGCTGCGTGTAGCAAATGAACAAGGTTTAGAGATATTGAGCAATGCGCTGCAAAGCCTTGCAAAACGTACAGGAAGCATTGGATGATGCATCAAAGAAGCACATGAGCCTGGATCAACTCAAAAAAGTAGTCTAAAGCTACTAGTATTGATGGACAGCACTAGGATCCAATAGTATAGTAATGGAATCGCGAGAGAAGTTGTACTTGGGGCCTAAGTGCTGGAGAGTACAGTGCCAATTAAGCTGTCTGCTTTGTGGTAGTGGATTTTATTGTCTTACTGCCAGCCAACTCTTCAACTCTTGAGCACATGCTGAAAAACACCAGAGGATACTGGAGGAAAGGATTGGTGGAAGATGTGCCGCCACCGGATTGGCGCACACGCGGTTCAATAGCTCTTCAACACCACGCACCTCAAGGGTTGTGGTGATGATCGGCTGGGCACGACACCCGACCAGGCCAGCCGCAGCTGTTGCCGGTTTAAGGCTCGTAGCTGTTGCTGTCACGGATTGATACCAGGTTTCCATTGTCACATGGTCTTTGGAACATCGAACAAACTCTTGGAAAGACCATGGTTTCTCCTGCTCCCCTCCCGCCCTTCCCCATGAAAACACCAGAAACAGGAACATGACAACAGCTCCGGAAAGCATGGTCTTTGACATCTTTAGGTCTTGAACAAGGAACGCTGGCACCTAGATGCTAGTGATGCCATCACACCACCACACCATATACCACTCTTGGCTGAGTGCCTGTAACATCTTTGTATGACAATCGGCCAATGATCACATACAGTAACAAATAAATACAAATAACAAAGTATCATCCAAGTCCATCGAAGATCTGTTCAGATCCCATTTCGACCTTTGGCTCTGGAACTGGGTCGTCTTATGCCTCAAAACCAGGGGCACCTTGCGCCTCCGGAACGGACTCCCGACAACTCCCATCGATCCCAAAAGCTCCTCGACTCCTCGTTGGCATTCTTTGGCATGGTTCGCCTCACCGTCTTGTCCACCGTTTTTCGCTGGGTATCCCGAACTGCGGTTTTGTAGCCTTCATGGCCTCAGAAGCTCCGGATCTGTGGGAACTTGCTGAGAAAGACACCCAGGCACACATCACCACCTTCGCAAGGCATGTCGGAGAGACCTTTACCATTTCAACATGTCCGAATGCTTTCCGAATTTCCCTCGGCTATCAGCTGAGTTTGGAACTGGTGCAGGAGATGCAAAGCTGTAATGGTTCAGAGCTCTCCTTTTGTCCAGCACCCTGGCGAACACAAGACGGTCAAACAATGTCAAGACGGCGCTTCTATCTCTGAGGTCATCATGTTCGTCGTCTTGGTCCCCTGGAAGATATGGAAGATTTGGTTGCGTGAGAAACTGCCAATGGGATTTTAGTTGGTCTGAAGCCCGTGATCTGGTTGCTTTCACCCCTATGGGACCCATTACATCCCATTACTGTTCTGGAATCTAAACCCTGGGAACACTTTGCCGCTGAGCTTTGCTGAAGAACTACTTTAGCGGATGTTCACAACGTAATTTTCAGCATCCAACACACAATCGATACATTCTATCAAACACCGGGGGCATGATCTATAGGCGGCAACGCCAAGATTCATACGATTCCAAGCACCAGGTCACCCGGGCAATTCTGCACACTCCACTGAACCCAGGACGGCGGGTCTGCTTCAGCCAACTCTTTTGGTGCCTCGAAGTAGCCAGAACCCACCCCACGGAGACGCAACTTGGCTTCTGTCTGCTTCACGATGCCTTGGTCCGGTCACAAAGAACTTCCAGTTTCGATGAACCAAATCCTCAATGATCCTCTCGCCCACTTGTGAATGTGGGAATCACTCGAATCACAATGGCTGGAAAGCTGAAGGAGGTGTGCTGGAGCAACATTCAGTATCAGAACCTTGAAGGCTATGCCTCCGCACGCTTCATGTTGGTCCCTTTTGCACCAATGATACGGCGAGCCACCTGCATTTGGAACCAGAAAGGACAATTTGACTCAATGCTGGAATCCCTCGCCTCGAGCTTCCTAACACGACGCGTAAAATTTGATATGTGCACTCACAACGTTCTAATGCAACACACATGACCGTACCTGGAAATCCTTGTCATTCTCAATGCCGATGATGAAACGGCAGGTGTACCTTCCACCAGCGCACAATCCCCAACTTCAGTTGTGATGAGTGGCTTAGGCTCGGGGGTGAACCAAACTTTAGTGCTACGGAACCGCTTGTCCCTGGCATCCGCACTTCTCAAAGATCTTAACTTGGCAAATGGCTCTTTCTGACTCGATGCCAAAGCTGGCCATCAAGAGCCAACCTGCCAAAAGAATCCCACATGTCTGAGAGATAGACATGCCTGAAACACCTTGAAAAACAACAGCTTCTTCCTGGGTCACTTCTTCTGACTCTTTCCAGGAGACTTGTCGGCCTCATGTGGAAAGTCTAGTTGCACCGAATTGTGCCATTGTGTACTGGAACAAGATGCAACAACCAGCACAACAAGCCGCTCAACAAAAAATGACGTAGGACCCGAAAAGAGAAAAAGCACCCGGCACGGCAAAACTCTTGAGAAACTATGCCCGTAGCTACTACGACTGCCACGCACAAGTATCAATGGTTTCCATCCGTGCAAACCCTGATACCTTGCAAGAGTCTAACACCTGTCTACTGCTTTCGTTGGCTCTTAGCCACATCTCTGATGCCTGAGGCTCAAACACCTCCCGCTGCTGCAGCCGCATTCCCCACTGCCTGCAACCAATCAAGCGAGAGGCAGTACAGGTCAATATTTTTATTACCAGTCTTACTTGGTACTATAGTACTAGTCTAACTCGTCTTGCACAAAGAAGATGTTCTTAACCGAACCTCAGGTTCCGCGCATAGTGGAACACAAAATTGAGTGTCAAACAATAAGCTTCTAGTAGCGTCCTTGCTCCTAGTAGCGCTGCCCTTTGGTCCTAGTAGCGTCCTCTAAAAAATAAACATCACATGACTCCTCTAGGCGCCATAGTTATTGTAGCACGTTTGTGTGGCGCATCAGGGTTTGTTTGAGACAAATACACAGTCATTTGACCTTCACCTTGCGGCAAATGCAACATGAAGGTACGTCAGGTTTTTGTATGTGGGGACAGTGGGCTCATTGCAAGGCCCTTACAACACTTTGCCTTGGCTCTACTCAATTCCCTCGCAGATGCGCACCGAAGGTGGTGACCAAGATTGTCCAGCAGGCCTCAGGAATCGCTTTTCGATCTTTTTTTGTGTGGCATTGGCGGATGCGCAAGAGAACTTGAGGGCCGGATCTATTGGTATATAACCTTTGGTGCTGACACGAGATTTGAAAGAGCTGCATTTGAGGAAACTTCATGAAACTTCTGCCACACATCAAAGCTCTTTTCAGGTCAGTGCATGAAGAGTGAACCAAACTGGAAAGAAAGTAACTGCATCCCAGTCCGATGTCGTGCAGCGACGTTCATCCGTCAGTGCTGAACTCGGTGACCCCTCGGGAAGCCCCAAGCAGGAAATGGCATTCCTGGGTACCTGCTAGACGGGAGAGCGAGGCCAATTGAAGAGCAAACACAGCCCCTAGTAGCGTCCGATCGCTCCTAGTAGTAAGGCCAGGAGCCCCTAGTAGCATCCTAATGAAGCAACAGCACAGCTTTAGAGAAAATCCATTCTATTCACCTGCGCTGTTGCAACTTTGCAAACTAGTGAGTCCCCCCCGTTGCCCAAGCTCTCGGAATACCTCACGAGGGTTTGTCGTCTGCATGAATATAGGATTGCCATGTCCCTTTTGCAGTCCCCTATCATTTGCTAGGGTGTTTTGGACTTACATATGCTGAAGGAAGTTCATCATGATTCTTGATATTGATGCACATATATAGTCTCCTACAATTGTATTCCCATGTTCAAGTGGAACAACTCGGTGGTCCGCCCCAGGAAGACTGGCGCACGGGGCAGGAAGAGTTGGAGAGTTGGCCCAATTGATGCGCAAGGTACCCTCCAAACCATTGAGCACCTGAATCGGTCGCATGGTCGTCACGCGATCGCAGAACTTCCCAAGTTGTGCGCTTTCAACATCCACAGGGTTTTCGCTGCTCTTCACAGTGGCTGGTGGATGTAAGCATATTGTATGGGTTGAAGAATGTTGGGCTGGTCAAGCAATCGTTGGGTACTTGCGTGATACGGATGCTGCTGGATTTTGATCAGCTGCACCGCACCTTCCCATTCAGGTCGTTCATGGCTGACTGGCGCAAGATAGCAAGGCAACACTGAAAGCAATGTGCTATCACAAGCACAAACACAGAAAACAGCACGGGCAGTGCTCTGGGTCTATGATGCATTTGCAACCCAACACCAGGCAACTCAGTCGCTTGAATCGGTTCTTGCAGTCCTGAGCGTCCTGAAACTGCTCGAAGATGATAACAGCGCTTGCCCCAGCCTGTCAAACCACCGAAGATGAAGGGATTGCTGACCATTTCTGCATTTGGTACATGCAAAAAATAGAGATGACAATCAAGAAATCTTCCCAATCATGCAAGCATGTGAGCATGAATGTAGAGTGCCTAGATGAAAAACACATAAAACTTGATAGACTCTGATAGACTATCAATCGCGTCTAGGTATGGCTGAAAGTTGTTGTCCCATGACCATGCACTTTGGCACTTTTTACAGTACAGGAATTAAGAACTGCCAACACCCTCGCTTTCGAGCCGGATCTTTGGCCATCTCCAACCTCATCCACGCGGATTTGCTTGACACCTCCATAGCGGCTAAAGACCTTGTCAGGCATCCGGAGCATCACCAACACGTCAAACATTCTGCAGTCTCAAACAATATATACTCAATCAACATATGCGCCTATCTGCCAAAACCTCAACGCTGTCTTGTTCCTACGTTTGGAACAGGCCTTGTGCAAGTCATCCTCAGTCAGCTGATACCTACAAGGCACTGTGAAACACACCGGTCATACTCGAATCTTTGGTGCGTGACGACATTTCTCAGCAAACTTGTTGGACTACAGCTTCACGACAAACGAGAGATTGCTGCAGGGGACATTTTACACCTTCTGCCAGTAGATGTGTGATCTCACTTCACACAACAAACATCACAAAAACAAATATATATATATATATAGAATCAATATGTTTGATCACTATATAAACCGAACTTCTACGACCTGCAGCTTCTCGCCAAGGCGCTGGAATTTCATACCCTCCACAGAAACGGTGATCGCCGGCTCGGAAGGCATCGTGGGCGTGTACCTGGTGTCTTCTCCGGATCTCTAGAGGATCAACATCTCTAGCTCAGTTTCCTCCATGGTTGCAAGTGCTTCTCTCATGTTACCAAAAATGTGCCGGATAAACGATGATCTTCATGCCCTTCTACTCCTGAACATCCAAAACCTGAGGAGAACCTCATGGGACTACAACAAGCGGAGCTAAGCTAGTCCCTGTTGAAGTTGAAATGAAGGTGTTTCTCCGTTGGGCTCTCGCATGGACGGAAGTCGAAGGGTTTCTATCTCAAAAGATTGGTGAGCAATATGGCGATACATGCCATGTCGCCTCTGTGGTTCCTGGGGTAGTTTGAATCATGGCAAATCCAAAAAATAGAACAACATGGATAACTTCTGAGGACCTCCTACCACCTCCTGCTCCAAAAAACCCTTTCCATCTGCGCACGGCGCAGGGGGAAGGCCGGGAAACATGGGCCTCGGGACGCTCGACTCGGACTCGGATGTCGGAGACCGGAGGTCGCACGAAGCCATGAGGGATGAGGCCAGGGCCCAGAGCAGGAGGAAAATACCATTCATCAAAATGCATACAATATACAAATATATATACAATATATACATATATATATATCAATCGATGTAAAATCTGTTATTTTTTCGTGCTTTTTCTCGGACAAACATGAGACAAGAAATCATTCTCATGTCATAATCAGAACACGACGATACTGTACATGCTTCTCCACAAGCATACCTTCATAGGAGTCAGAGGGTGGCTTGAGAAAGTAATATCTCTGGGGGGCTTTGGGCTTTCGCTGCCGGTAATTAGGGTGCCTAACTGTTAGGACACAATGCCCCTTGCAATTCGGCCTCCCTCTTGGACTGTCTGATTCTTTAGGAGGCCACCTGCCACCTTAAAGAATCCTCAATCCACAGTGCCCATACCAACATGTCAGCTTAAAGAATCAGGACTCTGCCAACACATACTGGGCACTGGCCCTAAAAAATCAGAACACGTTGAGCACAGTGCGCACACACCTGTGACACCCGGACTCCCGCTAAAGAATCAGAACACCTGGTAACAGTCCATGATGACAACAGCACACAACCAGCACCTCTAAAGAATCACACTCCGTTGCCACTCTAAAAAATGCATGGTGAACTCTAAAGAATGGCCTGCTTTTTGACAACCCGGGTTGGCTGATTTCCTAGAGGAAATTGCAAGGGGGATAGGACACAAACGTTTGTACCATTTTGTACCTCATAATTTGTCAACCAGTCAAGGCCGGCCTTGATGGAGAGTGGTGACTTCTTTTGATATCCAAGCCAACACCCCAGACTCCCCCAGACATCTCAGCTCCGCTGGGAGGCCAACGGCGCTGGGAAGTTGGCTTGCTGCTGAAGACCTTGTTGGATGTACCTGTTGAGGTGATGTTTTTGACCCCCCTTTTTATTTATAGGGGTAGGCCGCTAGGAGGTAGCTAGGTAGCTAGAGGTAGCTAGTAGCAGCTAGGTAGCTACTAGTTACTAGCAAGGACGGAGGATAGCTCGTGCTTCTTCAAGGAAGCTCCGGCGCCCTAAAGGCGGCAGGGGAAGCTTCCTTGAAGAAGCGCTCTCGCACTAATGATTTGGTTCCTAGTAGCGATGCCAGGAGCCCCTAGTAGCTTCTAGCCCCATTAGGTTGGAGGCCATTGGGCACTGACATGCTTGTTCGCATTGGCACTGAGGAATGACACAATTCTCGAGCGTGGGCCCATTGGGCACTGCACCATCTGCATGTATGCTTGAGCCATTGCAGGGTCAAAGTGAGGTGGTGGTACCGCCTGAAAAAAATGATCCAACTTGCTGCACTGATCCGTTGAACTGTCAGTAAGACGAAACCACAAGACAACACTTGGGGGTCAACACCTTCTACATCCTCTATGTCACCAACAAAGGCCAAACAAAGTGTCTGAATCGGGAAGTCCTTCTGCGACTAAAAAGAAGTTTAAGAAGGATGCGGCCAGCTTTATTTGGCCTTGAACTTCTAACCCTTACTTATCTATGCGTCTTCCTTTCCATGTTCCAGATTTTCAGCGTTGGCACTGTCGGACTTCTCTGACTGCAAATCAACAGCATTTGCGGAAAAAGCCTTGTTCAGCTTTCCCAAACCCGCCCAGTCAAGCATAGACTAAATGTCTAATACATCTCGAAAGCAATCTGAGCCATGAACCGGCATGGTTGAGGCGTCCCCTGGAGATGTAGCGCCAAGCATCGCCTGGAGGTGTCGCAGTTTCAAGGAGGGCGCCGGAACCATGCGGAAACGGGTGCGGCTTACGGCTTACGCACGGAACCGATTGAGGGCCTCGCCTGCATGGCTGCTGGGTCTGGCATGCCGGGATAGTTCGCTGCCTTGCTGAAATCGGCTCAGCCACGAGGCCAGATGGGGGGGTGCATGGCCACGAGTGGAAAGGGTCCGCGAAGCGCTCTGAGGGTCACTTTGGTTTCTGCTAAGAGGTGACGTTTGTAAGCAGCACAGTATAGCACAGCTGTTGGTAGTAAGCCTAATTGTCCTTTCTGTGTTCGGAACGCCGACTGAACCATGTGGCTAAGAGAAGAACATCACTACACGGTCGCAGGAAGCTCTGTGATCTATGCTCGTATTGGTGCGAAGTGATGTGTATCCAGCATGACTTGGCGGTCCAAGTCCATCAAACGCCAAAATCTTGCACCGTCCAATCACTTGGCACATATGTCCCTGGGGCGGTAAACTTTAAGAGGTCGAAACCTTTCTGGTCCACATTCCACAGCCATCTTTGCAAACAAAACCCATCGTATAGAATATCTTACTTTAGGGTGCAGGCCATCGCAACTAGGGCCTCTTAGATTGGAGGCCATCGGTACTAGGCATCGCGACGCGCGCAACCTGACGGATCTCCAGGCGTGAAGCCAAGCTAAGGTTCTGACCATCGCAACCTCTCTCCTTTCAAGTCCGGACAGTCCCTTGAGCAAGCGAGGCTGTCTGTGGGTGCAAATCTCACTAAGTTGCTGTTCGAATTGTGTAATGAGTACACGGCCATGGTAATGATCCGATCAACAGCAATTGCAGTGGGGTAGTGTGGCATGATTATGTTTTTCATGGGCAAGCCAAGGAGAACCACGGTGCTGCCAAGATCGTTCTCAGTCTGGAAACAACATGTCTTTATGTGCATATGTATACAATAAAATCATACAATATTCTTGCAGGCGATAGTAAGTACATACTGTATTGACTCACACTTCTACTTGCCAGCACACCCCCACATGAAAACTTGCCTGGAGTTGAGGATGCGCTCAATTAAGACGTCAAATTACCTCAGGCCCATAGAGAGGGAGGAGGCCTACGCGGGACTCATTTGAGTTCAACCTACCTACTTGGATGCAGTTTTACTTAACATCTCTCACAACAAAACTACTTACATAATTGCAGTACTTTCGGGTATGGGATGCACAAGAATAACTCACAACTAACTGCTTTTCGGCACAGGTGGTGGGCATCATCCAAAGTCAAGACAGGCTGCTGCTGGTGAAAACTACGGTGATGTACTGTAAATGAAAGAACAAAGCAGCAACAGCAACATGCACAATGCATGGGTTTCCCTGCGAATTGGCCAAAAGCACGGCTGGGCCGTGCCTGAATTGCCTCATTTAAGCATTGAGCCGAAACGGTCCCGGTGCAAAGCTGAAGGCAACTTCCATGATAGCCTTTGGCAGCCAAGAGTCTCTGATGTTCAAATTTGCTTAGCCGGTCATTACATGTCATTACACTCCTAGTCAACATGAGATAAAATGAGGGGTATGTTTCGTGTACTTTGAGTGAATGATAAATTGGAATAGGCTTGTCAAAATCGTCTGAACGATTTACTAACTCTATCAAAAAGCATCAAAGTGGTTGAAACTACCAACACTGTATTGCACAAACGGCCAAAATGATACTTATGATGGTCCTGGCTCACTGCAAAAAGCCAGATCCAATCCAAGTGTGTAGAGTGTCTTTCCATCTGCCATGCTCAAATTCAGTGAAACAAGGGGTAAGCATGGGCGACGGCATGTCAAGAAAACGAACCTATCTTTTGCCAATGAAACTGTGACCAACACCGTGTGATAAGCTTGGCCTTCCAAGCAGCTGTTGGCCAACGCAGGGCCAAACAAATGATTGCTGATCTATTAACCTCAAACCCCAGGGCTGGAGTGTGAAACCGGGTTAGCTGGCCCCTCGCTCAAAATCAGAACGAATCCCCGAAAACTACAGTTTCATATTCTGTGCAATTCTTGGGTTGTCATTCTAAAGCAAAGTTAGTATATAAGGTCTGTCATCGGCTCTTGTGTCGGCACTGCACATTCGGGGCTCATGGACAGCTGACTGATCCTGAGAGAGAAGCTTCCAACGGGGTGAGACATCCACACGATCAGGAAGGTGGGAGGCCTCTCGATCGACAGGCGCTGGATCTTCCACCAACCAGCGAAAAGCTGCCTGCATACCGAAAATTTGAAACACTGGTCGTTTCAGATATTTTTCTTCTATTGCCTTGAAACTTTAGAGTTGGGCAACTTTCTGCTGTTTCATGGTTCATCCACCTGGCATATCTAGTGAATCTAGCGCTCTGAACAAATCCATGTGTATATATATATATTTTTGCACATGTGTGAAACTTGCTTTCCGGCAATGTCGCAACACCCTTGCGTAAAGGCAACTATTTTTGTCCAGGTCATTGGCTTTGGAACATATGCGGCACAAACTCCTGAGCTGTCCGGTTGCATGTCTGATGCCATCTTAACAGTCTTAACTTTGGAAGACGGGATGATCCCCCTGCACCACCATGACGTGACAAGGAAACACCAGTGCACATTGCCCATGATCGACTTTGGCTTTCCCGCAGACCTCTAGTGACTCTGGTGAGTAGGGCACCTGCAACCGTTTGCAACAGTAATTGATATCAAGGGACACCGGACTATTGACTCAAATTTGAGAGGAGTGGTTGCTGAAGTCAACACAAAAAAGGCACACATGGCCACAGGTGTCGGCCGAGTGGCGGGCGCATATGAGTTCAACGAGCTGTGGAAGCTGTCGCACCAGTCCCCAAGGTCTTGGTGAGGTCGCCTCCCAAGATCACCTCGGCCAAGGACCGGCCCTCATGGCGCATGCGTGGCGCATGGCCGACATCGCAGCAAGTGAGATTTAAGAATTCGCAAGCGGAGACAAAGAGGAGTCCACAAGAATTCTCTTTATCAGTTCACGGAAGCTAGTGATGGAGTTGTCATTGGGGTTAAGATGGGTCAGGACCAACCATATACTGTGTATATACTGTATATATATATTGTATACACTTATATAGAGATTGTCTGTCAGCTGCGCACTGAGCTATATGCTGAGCAGGGTGGGATAATGGTCAGTTCACAAAGAGTTGAGCGAACACAGCGGTGAGTTTGTGAAGTGTTGAGCCAGTCAAGTGGTGACCTAGCTCCATGGTAAGATACTTTTTGCAGCAGTAGGCCTTCCTAGCACATGCTAGCATCATGTATGTGGTGAGTGCAGCACGCACCTCATGCTGCCACAATGCCACAACCTGTAACTGTAAGCACGTTGTGAGATCTGACATTTTGCTACTATGTACAGGAAGTAGACTCTTTTGCCTAAGGTTAAGTACAAAGAGCAAATAAGAGACATACACAACACCATCAAAGCTTCGGAGCCAGCATTCGATCCCCTCTTGGTTTTCACATCTCGACTCTTCATCCATGTGGCTGTCCGGTGGCCGCTGTGGCAGGGTCACCAGCGGAGATGCCGTGGGCATTATGGGGGAGATGGGTGGAGAATCTTCTTCAATGCCGGCGCGGCGCAGCTTCACCTGGGCCAGGATGGCATCAGCTGGAAGATGGTCAAGCGAACAACCATCTGAGACATATGTCTGATATCAAATGGTGGTCTGACCGGGAATTCTGGCTCTCAATTCAGGGTTTAATTACACCAACAAGTGAAAATACAATTGACAAGAAGAGTCAGCACTTCTTCTTGGCCCCACAGCTCACACCCCTCAAATCATACAGAAACCACATCCGAACCCACTTTCCCTGGCATTATTTTCCAATATCCGCGTTCATTAAATCAACATCGGTAATGCTGTTAAGCCTTCCCAAACCCACCAAATCCACCAAAATCTGCACTCCGAGTTCGACTCGGTTTGACCTTCAATTCGGTGTTCTCATCCTGAAGCTCTCGGAGTTCGCGGGACATGTCGTCCATTTGTCTTCGGGTACTCTTTTTCTCATCCATCCATCTTTTCCACTCCTCTCCTTAGGCCAAGTGCACAAAAGGATTTGAGGGAGCATGTGTGTGTATTTTTTTTTCAGTTTGTTGGGATCCTTGGGGGGAAAATGACAGGACCAATAGGACAAAAATGGACGGCAGATTGGCAGCTCCACTGGGGCTGTAGCTGCATCAGCACAGTCGAGGCCAAGCATCGCAATTTCTGATCTTCTTTTTCCAGCTTTCTTTCTTTCGCTTTCAACTCTTGATCCCTCGGGATGAAACAAATGAAGCATTCGAACGACACCATCTCACACCATCTCCGAATTATCCGTACGCAAACACAAAAAACATCATGTGAAAATCAACGGGGAACTCTTGCATCAATTTGCCAGTCAGCTATAAGATGCTAAAACGCGCCAAGGGGCCTTCGCTCGGACTCCTGAATGGGGCGTTATTTTTGGGGAGGCACGGAGCGATGTAACATGCATGTGAGCCATTGTTTCTAGGTCATGGATAACAAAGACCATACAAGTAAAGATCAAGACTCAAGACACACTGTCAGTATGATTAATCCTCTGGCTTGAAGTGGTCGTTTTGCCGGTTGTAGCTAGGACAGTGAGCTGATCCATGAGCTGTTGCACCCTCCAACCTTCGAATGACTTTCGCTCGTAAACTCTAGACATCAGAGGTGGAATCCGATCAGCCCAAACAGGCAAGAATCAAACATATGGAAAAACCACACGTGCCTACCCTGGGCAAAGGAAAAGAAAGGTCCAAAGGATTCCAAAGGTACAAAAAAGGAAAACATGGGACAATGATGGAACATGCCACCCTGACAATTCGACATTCCTCTGCAAAGCCGACAGGAGGAACATCATGAATTGGAACTCAGCAATGTTTTACTCAATAATTAGAGTAGAGACAAAATCAAGAATCTGGATTTACTGGTCTTTAAAGTGAGACCCTATGCACACTATATGCCCCAATCGTAACCTCATCAATTACATACTTAAATAGTCCCCCTATGCCCCCCTCAGAGGCCATGACCTGTCCACGGCATGGCTTTGTGGGAGTGTCTTCATCTCCAAGGCCAGACTTTGAGGGGAAGGGCTGCTGGTAGCTCAACAAGAAAATTGGTGTTGTGCAGTTGTGCTCTTTCACATCCCCCCTCCAGTCTCCGTGGGTTTTTTTCACCTAAGCCGGTGACTTTTTACGGGTGGGTCGACCGTCCTTGAGCTGCTTGCGACACTCCTCGATCTCGTGGAGAAGACCCTCTCGTTCCATGCGGTGGACTCAGCGAGCGCTGTACACAGCTAATCCACAGGATGATATACAATGATGATACAAAATGACATTTACAATGATACAGGCTGAAGATGGACGATGTCTTCTCGAACTCTTGAATACTCGTGAGCCCTTTGAATGCCCTGATCTGATCCCCTCTCCCTAACTTTGTCAGCCTTTCCTGGCAAATTGGATAGCTGAGCAAGCACTGCCGTGACGAGTTGTGTCAATCAAGGTCTCCATCAAGGTCCCTAAGTAAGTCCTTCATTGTAAGATTGTAAGGCTCATTCCGTCTGTAAACGGTACATCCACAAGTTTCTATGTCGGAGGCCATCGCTAGTAGGTTGGAGGCCATCGCTATTCTATTAGGTTGGAGGCCATCGCTAGTAGGTTGGAGGCCATCGTATTGGGGTGGAGGCCATCGCTGTTAGGGTGGAGGCCATCGCTAGTAGGGTGGAGGCCATCGCTCTTAGGGTGGAGGCCATCGCTAGTAGGGTGGAGGCCATCGCTCTTAGGGTGGAGGCCATCGCTAGTAGGTTGGAGGCCACCGCTATTGGGGTGGAGGCCATCGCACAAACCATGCCAAGGGTCATCGATACTCGTCCAAGAAGTGCTCCCAAACCTCTGCGCTGCGTGCCGCATGCTCCCAGCCACGTCGCTGTAGCCCCTCCATGAGATCTTCGAAGGGTATCGTCTGCACCTAGTGAGTTGAGCGGAGTTTAGTTTGGTGAGACGAAAAACACAAATACCGGTCTGCACCTAAGAATGATGAATGGATGATGAAAGGCCTACATTTGCCTACATGAAGTGTAGTTGGTTGATGTTGGTTGCACAGTTGCATATATCCACATCGACATACATCGACTATAATTGCAACTCTTAGAATGATCAAATTCCTGAAGCACCCCATGGATTCGCCTGAATTTTGCCATCCCACGTTTCCCTCTGCAACATCTGCACCGCTTCACAGGGTCGTCACACTAACGTCCCAGCCGTGGGATACAGACTCTGTCGTTGGGATTCGTGTGGTTGGGACGGTTCAGTCTGTCTTGTGGTTGAATGGCTGTGCTTGTTCTGTTTTGTGTCTTGTGGCTATCGGTGGCTTTTGATCTGGGAAGGTGGGGTAGCTTTGGTACTTGCGCTTCAGAGATCTTCAGAGTCTTTCTTCCAGATGCATTGAATCAGCAATTTCCTCCCGAATCACAAGCAATGCGGCTGGTTTGAAAACTTCATCTGCTTGAAGCTGTGAGCCGAATTGGAAAACATGCTGAACGAGTCTCTTTGGTCTTCTGTTATGAGAAATCATACCAAGCTTCAATTAGACATGTCACAGCTTCACTTTGGGGGGTTCGTTGAAGGACATTGCTCTACCTGTCGTTTCCTCACCTTCTTGTACCTCCTCCACCAAAACCCACTCCGGCCCAAAAACTCCACCTCTCATGTGCTGGGATTCACGTGCTCGGTCACCTGGCAGCGATATTTCTGTTTCATATTTGGCCACCATCGACTTCAGGTGGAATGTCGTCAAAGATTCAGCATGTCCATTTTGCTAGATGGAAGGTATCTCATTCTTCACTCTTCTCCGCCTGAGTTTAGAGTCTAATTAGCAGCTCCACAAACGATTTCACCAGCTTGAGTCTAGAGTCAAGAAGCTAATAGTTTGTCCAAGGTTCTCGCAACCTCCTGAAACCTTCTTCCTCAAACCTTCTTGTGCAAATACCCTGAGTATCTGTGGGCAAGAAATGAGTTCCGGCTTGGAGTAGATTGTTCCTAGTAGCGTCTTGTTACTAGTAGTAAGGCCAGGAGCCCCTAGTAGCATCCTTGCTCCCAGTAGCGATGCCCTTTGTTCCTAGTAGCGCCCTCTACCCCCCATGATTCTTTTTCAGGAATCACGACCCCATGACCCCAAAGAACACGATGAGCTTGTGTTTTCGCTTCCTCCCTGGGAGAATCAGGCGGAGATCGGTCATGGCCCAAAAGCGGTCCAATCCCGAACACCAAACCCTGCGGTAGGTCTCATCCAATGCACCACGAGCTGCCTGCGGGAGTTTTGGACTTGTGGAGGAGGACAAACACATAAAGGTAGGTGGTAAGCGCAATCGGCTTCCACGCTGCGACCAACATTAAGGTTTTTGCCAGTTTCACCAGCTTCATCAACATTAACATGTTCACACATGTTCATAATATGATTTCACCTCTTTATACATGTATGTAGGTAGCCACACCCGGTCACCTTCAAACAATTTGGACCAGCAAGTATCTGCAGCTGTGGTCCAACATCTGCGGCTGTCGGATCCTTTCCCAGTGCGCTAATGCGTTGAAGATCCCAGGAATGTGATTCACTGTGATGCGTTTCACCATCAATGGGTGCTTTGGTGCGCTTCAGCCTTGATTCTTGATCAGACCCACAGTGTCATGCACAATTTAAAATCGTGGAGCCTACTGTGTTGCACCTGTCTGGGAAGTCACTAGCTGGTGAACTCTCTTCAGCCTCGGAGAACCTCTTGTTCTCTTGCGCAATCCGCCGCTGGATCACCTGTTCGCAACAACATTGGCAGTGTATCATCCACTAGATGCAGGTGATGATGCTCGGCTCTTCCACAACGAGACGCTCATCATCCGTGTGCTGATTTATTTGAGTTCTTCCATGTCGTTTTAGGTCATTCAGATGAGAAAAAGAAAGCTTCTAACATTCAGCCTATATTGAATCCTAAAGGATCCTAAAGGCTTTTACTCTACATCTAACGATGGGCTGGAGAATCCACCCAACCTCTTGACGCACATGCGGAAGCTGGAAGGTATGCACCAGCTCCCGGACCACCACATCTGGCTCCTGCTGGCACACGTCGCAAGGGGGGCTTGGTTGCTATGATGGTCTTCTTCGCAACACAGGAGCTGACAACGGATCTTTGGACAAGGGTCTTGAGATAACTGCAGTCCGTCAGGTGTAAAGTATGTAAAAGCTATTGATTGATAAATGGATGAAACACCCAACCGAAACCAGCCAGCTCCTCAGCGAAAGCCTCCAAAGTATCTACGACTTGGTTGATGTAGGCAGCCTGGCAGAGTATGGTACATGCTGTGAATCATTGAATTTCTGATAAGCAACACCTCTGCACTATTATGCATCCAAACATGACGTTCATAAACGATTTCAGCTGTCTGGAGTGTAGAGAGGATGCATTTGGGATCATGGACTGAAGCCTTCACTGGAACACACCCAACTGCTTTGTGCCGGAAGTCATTTGTTTCAATTGTCATCCAAGCAGTTTAATTTCAAAAAGCTGTCACAACGAACATCAAACAGCATGAACTTGCAAAGCTCTTATTTGGTATCTGGCAGATTTCACTAGTGAGACAGGGTTTCTCCCCCAAAGAATGCTTCTGCTTGCCTGTTGAAGGCAAAACCACACACGGATCTTTGCGTCGACGCGCCGACTCCGCCGCGGATCGGTGTCGCCTTTAGGCGAGCCTCTGTGAGAGCTTGCGTCTGTGCTGCCTGTGGCAGGTGCACCCACCAAAACACAGAAACCATTTCCTGGTTGGACAATTTCTGGTTTTGACACGTAGGCATGGAAGAAATTGGTGCAGGACAGGTGACTTCCCTTCAATCCACCTTCTTTCTGCTGTTGTACTTCGTGCTACAAAACACTGAAACAGGATGCATCACCCCATTCCTCAGAATCGCAGCAACTATGATTCACACCAGAACTGACCGCTAAGTTTGCTGACACCCAGTTCCAATCAACACAAGGGACCACAGCCAGTCCCTAGAAAACAAATAAAACAAGAACACAATAATAATGATAATAATGCCATATAGATATATAGAATCTCTGACTGCTTCTGCACCTCCTCCACCGTGCTGGTCAAGACTTCCTGTGGAGACAGTGAACAAACGACAAATGATGATGACTCTGCATGCCTGCACGGTGAATCCAAGCTGAAACAAGGTGCCTCCGCTTATGATTTCAAATCAAAATCTAGCAGCTAGCATTGCCCTCCATCCCAGCACCGAGATCACTGTTAAGCATCACTGTCCAGCAAAATCTTCTAATCCAATGTGCATCCCAGGAAAACATATCAAGGTGATCTACTTTTGATTCAAACATATTCAAACCATTCTGGGTGTCTGAAGACACTTCAAGATATTTCACAAACGTCCATCAAGGATGGTCATTTTAACTCTGTGACTCAGCTTCAATGCCGACCATCCCGTGATTCCTCCAGATATGAGTCCACCGTGCCCTGATGGACACCCATGATCTGTCGGAACATCTCATCCTTGGCACCGGTACTGCTTGGGAAAACATACATCTTCCTTTCTGAAAGGTATGCAAAGGAAACCATGGCAACAAGTCGGCCGAAGTTGTTTGACCTAGCTTGACCTGTACTCTTTAGGTAGGGAACACCAAGGCATCTGTGTAGGTGTGCACAAGCAGAAACAACGTCTCCTTCTACATGTTTTCGATCTCAAGACTCTTCAGCTAAAGAGGAAGAGTCGCGACCTGTCCAACCCAAAATGACTTCACACAACTTCCCCACCTCTCGCGCACGGAGGCGTTCTTCGGCTTGCCGCCGGCCACTCTCCATGGCCTGCAAAAAGGAGCAAGGCATTGGAAGTGATGGCTCTGTTCGCTTTGGGATTTCCAATCAGGAACCCCACGATTCTGAATCACATCGGACGCGAACAGCCTGTTGGCCTTCTTATCACTATCTTTTTTGAGGGGTAGGCCGCTAGTAGAGGTGAGGTAGGTAGTAGCTAGAGGTAGGTAGCCAGCAGAAGCTAGGGAGTCGCTAGTAGCTACAAGAACGCTACTACATATGGACGCAGGATAGCTCACGCTTCTTCAAGGAAGCTTCCCCCGCCGCCCTAACCTTGAAGAAGCGCTCTGTCTATTCATGTGGTTCCTAGATTTTTAGAGAACCTTAAGTTTAGCCACCTCTTCGATATTCTATATTCTTTGTTCGATTCGTGGCCTCTCAAATTCGAGGCTTACCTTTCCTTGTGTGGAACCAAGTGGCTTAATCAATTACCTGACGGATTGCTTGTGAGGTACAAGTTGTTATTAACATTGCATGACCAAGTGAAACTTTTACTTTTGACTGCAATCTTTACGATGACAAGGGCTTCAATGTCGTGCACCTACTTGCACAGCCACGGCATTCCCTTGGGCCACCTGTCGGTCTTGTCGGTCCCTTTCAGCCAACTTGACCTCAAAGGGCAGCACAAGGGCGATTTAGATGTCAGCCTCCTTCTACAGTACGAGGCATGCATCCCATGTATTCTATACTTCGAAGGCTGTGGGTTAGTCTCCTGGTAAACAAGAAACATGACCATAAACACTTGCACAGTATGCAGCATGATAAACAAACAGCGATCACTACCCGGGGTGGATCAACCTCGGCAGTGATGTCAGTAGTGGTATATTGTATATATATATACTATGCCTACAAGGTCGGTCAATATGAGCGATGACTTTTTCTTGAACCTGCTTCGCCGGACCTGCTTCGACGGGCATCTCGTTCAGAGCTGACCATCCGTAAATGATCGTAAATCCACCAATCGGGTGCACACAAGCTTTTCTTCAACCAAAATTTTTGAGACCGTAGCATTACGATTTGGCCCATGCAAACCAGAGGTCCTGCACAGTCCTACTGTAATGAATTCATAGTCACTAAATTATGGAACTGGGACGTTGTTCGTTTGTCTTTTCTTCCCTTTTCCATTGTCTGTTCGTGTCATGAGGCACAAGTGCTGAACTGATGTGCAAATGTGTTCAATACCAGTCGAGGTGCCATTGCGGCAATCCGCCGCTCCTCCTGGAAGCGCAAGAGCTCCTGCATCGTGCCAAAGGCGTCGATGTAAAAACTCGAGATGGCTTTAACAATGATGGATGCGTACACAAAACAATGATGTCTCTACGATGGCTTTATTAATAAACTTTAACACTTTTAAATTATCTTAAATTCCAAAACTTTCCCAAACTACAGAGGTATGTAGTGTAGAGGGTCGTACACAGGCCTGCTTCTTCCCACTGGGAGTCAGGACCAGGATGCACATGCTCTAGATGCATACTTTATTCCTACACTCTACACTACACTACAAAAAAAAACAAACGATTGCACGATTGGACTAACTCGTACCAACTGCTGCATGATGATGTATCTAGGTCCAAGTAGTTCTATCTGTGGCATCAGGTGGTGCGCAGGTATGTGCAGGTATGTCTTGTTACTAGTAGCTTCTAGCTACTAGTACACCGGCCCTTGGAGTAGTCATACCCTTGTTACTAGTCGCGATGCCCTTTTTACTAGTAGCTTCTGTGCTACTATGTGCAGGTCTGAGGCGTCTTCACGTCAACGGACATTATTGCTGCAGAGCGCTGGCTGGAGTCCTTTGAGAGCTGATCCAGGGTCTGAGAGATGATACTTCCCTGCAAAGACCTGGGCATTTCAGGTTGCAACTGCGGTTTCTGACTGTGCAAAAAGGATCAACAAGCACAGTTCTGGCGGTGCATAGGCAACTTGAACGTGAGAACTTGACTTGACTCTCGGAAGTGTAGACATGTAGATGCTGGATGATGCTGGAATATGGAAGGATGACGGCTATGAACACATGAACACACGAGCTACTTCCAAGGAACGTCGACCTGCTGAGGTAGCTACTCCAGGACACCTTCGAAGGCTTTATCTCTAAGCTGGTCGATATACCTGCGGAGCAAGACAGCAAGGCAAAGACAGCTTGATCCCAGAGAGAAAGCGAGAAAGCCGCAGCGTTAAAAGCACAGGCCCTTCCATGTGATCCGTGTGGCAAATCAAAGGTATGGTACGATATGTTTGATCAAGCCCACAATCCATTTCACTATAGTCCACTTGCCCAGAATCTGAAGATTAAAGGCAAACAAAAAAAGAAAACAACACCAAGCACTTCAAGAAACCATCATACATATATATATATATATATTATAACTATATCAGGCTCCATGTCTAGTCAGTGGTATCTGCTGTTGTACTGCATGCTGATATTGAGAACCAAAAGAGCATCGGACTCCAAAATCACTGAGTTTTGCCCACCCCACCAGGCCCCACGAGTTGCGCGAGGTCCGCCTCTTCTCCTCCACCCGTGTGGCTGTCTCCGCGAAGCGCTCCGCGGCACGCAACTCGTTGATGAGGTCCAGGCCTTGCAATCGATTACCGGCGACTCGATCACCCACGCCTTGTCTTGTAGAGGACTGGATGTCTTGTAGAGGGTGCTTTGAATTGCATTGGAGCCACATCTTGAGAACTTACTTTCAATCAGATGTTGCTTTCCAAAGTCTGTCGGGCTGAGTTGCCACTGTGCACTACGTTGGATGGAAGAGTGCTGGATATGTGATATGTCTTGAAATGTTATGAACGTACCATGACTCTGCATGTTACTGTCTCGGAGTTAAATGGCTGGAAGAAACTCTTTTTGGATGGTGAGCCAGCAATACATCCCAGGGCCTTGAAAGTCCTAACTTTAATGATAGTCGTGCTACTCTGCTAGCCGACTAAGAAGTTATAATGAGAACTGCAGAAGAGGACTCGGACTCAACCCCTTTGAATGCAGCTAATAAGCCTGCAAAATCAGTGCAACTTCAAGGCATTTCAATTTCATGTCGTAGTGTCGTACCAGGATATACGTGTGATTGAACCATAAATGCAAAATATAATGCCAAGGCATCCTGGAAACTAGCAGGTGTTGCTGAAACGCTATTCGTTACGCCCCCGTTTGCCGGCTGCAACTGAATGCATTCCAAGATCTCCTGCACAACATGAGGACTTCCAGCAACAGTCTGGGTGACCAGGCGCTTTTCCTTCCCTTCGAACATGATGTTCTGCATCCTGCCACGAGAAGTGAGGTATAGTACTGAGACTTCAACACCCCAACTTGAAGACTTTTTGAGACAGTTCTTTCACTTCAATTGATGCTTTCCTTCAAAAAGATCTGGGATCCTGTTCTACTCTGGAGTTGACATGCAAAGGTAAATTAGGGGCCAAGGCATTAGATCCAACTGCTGGTGAATGTACCCTGTCTGGCTCAAAGGATCAGTAACCAGTAGGTCAGTAGGCATCATTCGGTGAAACCCTTCCAGGTCCAAGTACAGCCAAGGGCCAGGGAGCTTGTGAGGGTGGGCAACATCGTTCGCCGTAAACTTGATGGTCATAGTCTTAATGCGTATGTTTCAAGTGGTGTTGAACCATGACGAAAGTTCACGATGCGCACGGGGAAGTGGGCGCAGTTCACTTGCAAGTCAGATCAATGGTGGTGCTCAGGTGCTCAGGTCACTTCCCGTGGCACATCCCATGCGGGAGCTGACGGCGCACGCGCGGCCACGGATGATACGCTGGAGAAGCAGTACAGCCTTGGAGTTCATGGATGGCTGCGAGAGCTGTTCCAACCCAAATCTTATTGCTTTTGGCAACTTCAAAATTCCAGCAGTAATTGCAACAAACCCAACTTTTGGTATGGTTGACACTCGATTGTCGGGTCGCCCCAAGTGTCCATAGCAAAAGCTTGTTTACAGAAATGCTTGCACCTTGCACACCTTGAGGTTTGTGCAGGGCTTTCTCAATAGCAATCTTTGACTTTAACATACTTAATACTTTAACCATATAAGCAAGGTTGCATGAGTGGACCAGTGCCACTGCGTTCCACCAATCCAAAAAACTTGCAGGTCAATAATGCCTCACAATTCAGACCATTCAGCTGCGAAAGCTCTCAGGTGGTTGCCTGGCTCATATTCCTGAATTGACCACAAGAGCATTGATAGGTCCATTTCTGAGGTTCTGGCAGACTCTTGCTCTTCCTCCTCTGGCAAGACCTATCGTGCAGGGGCTCTAGTTACGGATCCTGGACAAAGGACTTTCCAGCATAGGTTCTGGATGCTCCTGCGGATGTTATATCCCTACAAGAACAAACACTTGGTAGTAGTATAATAGAACTAGAACCAATAATAAACTTCGTCCAAACCTATTGGTTCTTGCTTTTGGCATCTTTTGGCCGTCGCTACGATGCACCACTCCGAGCCCGATTACAGGACCAAATGCCCAGATTTCAGGGGATCTACATTAATAAACACGTGTAACAGCACGTGAACCGAAGCATTCAAGCCTATTGATGTACGGCCGATTTTTGCTAGATACTTTTGAACAAATATCATTTGACTGCGTTTTTGAGAGATCTCCGCTTGAAAAAGCCCTACACAGCTTCCTGGGCCCCTGACATCGTTCTTCTCCCTCGGGGAGTCAGGACGATCCAAGACATTCCGCAGATGGAACCTTGCAGACACCAGCGGTCTCTGACAACTCGAGAAACAAGAAGCTACTAGGGGCTCCTGGCATCGCTACTAGGAGCCTACCTGGTACCTACTTGATTGCCAGGTACGCCTATTGAGAGAATATATATAGCAAATGAGAACTTTTTCCTTATTGATTGGTGTATTCATTAGCATGTGAGCAATCGTCTTTAGAAGGCAAAGTATAATTTGTCGGCAAGAACTTGGTCTTCGGGACGTGGACGGATAGCATTTGTGTTCTCAATCATCACTGCAAGTTTGCAAGTTGTCAGCTACGTATTCCCAATGCGTGTCTTCAAATGCTTTGAGAGGAAAGCACTGACTTCTCATGACTTTGTGAAGGTTGTAGCTGCTGGTAGCAGCTGGGCTGGGCCAAAGACTTCTTCAAACCACCAGCGCTCAAGGACGTCTCGCCCTGAGGTCGCTTTTTCAGTTCAAGGCGGAGGCAATTGAACAACGTGGCAACGCATCAAGATGAGACATAACGAGGTTCAACGTGGCAGCGGGCTGAACATGATCAAACCATATATCAAACCCAGATTCAGTTTGACATCTCTTGGCAAGCTAAAGGCGTCCACGTCTAAAACAAGTCTTCGTGGAATCCCGAACTGGCCACGCGGACAGAGAGGCATCGCATCACATTCACAGGTCCCTGAACTGCCTTGCTGTCACCCTCGTTCTGCTGTAGCTCCTATGGACGCTCACAGGCCCAACTACATTGCGGCATCTGTGCGAAAAGACCTTGATATAAATCCAAAGGAGACAATCATGTGGAAGAGCCTTGGATATTAAGTGATACCTGAAACAGAACATTATCCTTGAGGATGCCTAGGGTTTATCAAAGAACGTTGCCCATGACAAAGCGCATTGCCTTCTTGATGCTCTCCATCGCTGTCTTCAATGCAGTCGTCATTTCCAACTCCTGCATATCTGCTGGAATATAAAGAACTGAACAGAACTGAACTCAACCACTGAAATGGGTTTTCTCTCCAAAGCAACACATTCAACACATGAGTGGTAGAATGTCCACGGCCCCGACCAACAGTGTCCCGACAAGTCCCTTCAATCAAAGCTCCTTCCGGAGCTGATGACTGGACTTCTTCTTCTTGTCCATGTCCTGTGAGCAGGACTTGGTGGGAACCTTTGAAAAGTAAACACATTTGGCCGAGGGAAGCTTCCTCTACAAACCGATTCAGCAAAAAAAGCGGTTCTGTCCTTTGGATGCCTGTCAGGTGCACGCAGCACAGATGGATGAAGGGACCTCAGTTGTCTGCGAATGAGGGACCTGTCAGGTCCAAATTGAAGACTCCAAAGCGACTCATTCATTCACCAAACATGCTGGGTGCCGCGGGCGCTTCCAATTGGACAAGGCCAGGGAAGCTCGCCAAATCCTTGGGAACATCAAAGGTGAGCAAAATCCCTCGCCACATCTTCCGGCCCACCGCGCTCAGAAACATTGCTGGGCCCTGGTCAGCTGCCTGAAGCAAGCGGTAACTCTTAGCCCTTTCTTGTTCACACTCAAAGGTGGTAACTATACTCAAAGGGTTTGCTCCTTCGACTTTATTACTCCTGAAAACAAGAACAACTCCATTAACTACCCTTTGCACAGTCAAGGAATCACCCCTTTGTGAAAACTTTTGGATGCATGGAAACCATGTCTGCAACCCCATATCCACCCTTGCTGGGCATCAGCACTGAAGGCTGCACCTGCACACAAAGAGAGCACACTCCCGACATAGAACCTGACTGCATAAACCTTGTTTACGATAAAGGACATCTTGGCTTCTTGAGAATTTCTAGTGTAGCCTCTCATGGTGGCAACGGTGGGCCATAGGTTTGAGCGAGGATGAGGATAGGATGCACAAATACCCATCACCTCCGTCACCGCACCCTGCTGCCGACCATGCCTCGATCTTGGCAGTGTTGTAGTCTGGCACATGACCATTGCCTCAGCGCCAAAACCGTATGGCCCTTGATCAACTGCTTCTGGTTTTGGTTCCAGGATAGGTTCAGCTCTCCTTCACTATCACTGATGGCTGAAGCAATTGGTCACGTTGATTCCGATGATCCGTTCAGTCATGTCACTGGCCCCAGCAGTCTAAATTTGCAAGCACCCCCACTTTGACCTTTGCTGCTAAACAATGTGCAAAGACACAACTTAGCATGAACTGTGTCGAACATGTCGAAAACCTATTGGAACTGGCTTTGTTGTGCAGCATCCGTTCGCCCAAAAAGGCGGTCCTTTCACGGACACAGTTTTGCCTTGCGCAGGCCTAGTTTATTTGTCTAACCCTTTCGCGAGACCTTTCGCAGCAAAGGCTTCAAACCAACAACAAAAATACTAGTTCATATTCAACGAAACTGTATTCAACACTTGGCCCATACGTCTCATCCTAAATGGCCTTTCGCATAATTTCTGCTTTTGTTTCATCTTTCGCAACAGCTTTCTCTATCAGCTATCGCGAATTGAGTTTTGCCGTCACGGATCGCGGGTATGTCAGGACCACTGTAACTCTGCGACCGATTCTGTGCATTGGACCGATATGGCACCAAGGCCCCGCACGTGCCAAAGGAGCATAGACCTCACGTGCCAGGCTCCATTTTTGAGGCATGGACCAACTCGATTTTGAGGCATAGCTATGCAGCTATGCACCTAGCTATGCATTACTTTTTCATTTGAGTCGAAATCCTTTCCAAGTAAAGTGGCCTCGGTCTTAAGCATCGAGGAGCATCCTAGGGCCAGGTCGCTGGAGCGTTCTTCTGCCCGCGCCTGCGAGGTGAAATCCGCATACTCCGCGATCACGTCTCGCCTTAGTCCAAAGGCAGTAGACGCTATGCTTGGAGTTGCTGTGGAAAACTCACAGAAACAGGTCCTCTGGGCCATTCTGGGCCATGCGTGCCTCATGTCCATCCAAATGATACTAGTAGCGATGGCCTCCAACCGAATAGCGACATCCAACTAGTAGCTTCTTGCATCTTCTTGCTACTAGTAGGGGGGAGCGGGCTTAAAATAAGGTTTCAGGACTATCATGATGCTCTTTTGCCCCCAGCCTGACATCACTGAGGGCTCTGCTTGCGTACGTTGTCTGAGTCAGCCTGGGCAGGAGGAGGCTTACCGTCTTGTGCAGATCTGTGCGGGATCAGCATCAGTGCCTCAGCCCTCTTGCCGGAGTGTGTGAAACGAAGAATGCAACTCTCACTTTGATTGCACAGTTCATACTGTTCCGCTATCTCCAATTCTGACTGACACAGCTCAGCACATTTGCAGGACTTGACCGCACACCGAGTCTCAAACCTTGGTACGCTCCTTCTGCATCTTTCGGAGCACCTTCAGGGCGACTCTCAGGCGGTAGTACAGCAAAAACTGAACCCATGAATCATCCTGGATCCGCCAATACGATCCAAAAGGCCACTAAAACACATAGCATCCCCATCCGATCCGACCGGAACACATGTCTTCACGCTGCCCCATCCGCCTTGGTCCGGAGCCGCTGGCACGCCGCCAACTTCCGGTCACGCTCCTGGCGCAGCGCCAGTCGCAACATGTCGCAACATGTCGCAACTGCTTTGTGTCCAAGTTTGGTCAGTTGCAGAGTGCAACATTGATTACCTCCTTTTACCTCCTCTTCACGAGTGGACTGCAAGCTTGCAGGTTTTGCAAAGTTCACAATCTTCTCTTGCACAGGCAACATTTCTCAGAGTAGAGGGATGCAACTCGGCACACAAACAACACCAAGAAGTCACCTCAACTTTTTGCATCTTTGTTTTTTTTGCAGTCTTGTTGTGTTTCAGTTGCCTGGACTCTCGCCCTCCTAATTTTGGCAAGCCACGGTGAGATCAATATTCGGTTGGTGTTTCTCTCGTCGGGGTAACTCAAGAAGCTGAAGGTGTATGTCATGGGAGAACGAAAGTATACAAAAGTGATGCTGCTAAGGTAGCCCCAACTCCGCAGCTTGTAAGATTGGGACAACTCTGAAAAGCTCTTCGCAAAGCTTGTTGATTGGAATCTGAGCCTAACAATAAAGTCGGCAAGGGCAGTGTTTTCCTCTATATAATATACTCTTTTTAACATCGCAACATGCAGGGCCACGCCACAACAAACAAACAATAATCTATTTAGCTTGTTGAATGCAAATTGCACCTTCCAGAAAGCACTCTCCAATATTCTCCAAAGGGGTTTATGATGCATGAGTCCGAGCTGTGTGTTTCAGGGTCCACACCCTAGCTCATCCCCTTAACTGCAGGGGTGGGGTAGTGGCCCGCCTGTCATTGAAAAATCATGTCTTCCCCAAGGGCAACGCATGCTGAAGTGACTTCCATTACCATTACTATCAATGAAAGAACTTGAGCTACATGCCACATGCTGAACACCTTTGACGCGACATCCCCGGTGAGACCAACTCTGAACACTCATTCAAGCTAATGACACCAGGACCCCACTCACCGATTGTCCGGTCTATGGTCCTCCTCCTTTCGCTGTCTAACGCGGTCAATCTGGCGGACCGGGTGCCGATTGAAACGAAACATGCAAAGACTTTGATCTCAGAACACAACAGGCAGGCAAGAAAGTAGACTGTAGGAGCAACAGAACAAGTGGGCCAGTTCAAGGACATCAACTGGTTGATAAAGAACTGTAAACACCTACTTAAAGAGGATGATCCTGATAAAAACAATCAGTACTTGCAGTAACCCAAAAGCATGGCTTTCTAGCTGCGCCTTTCCCATCTGGGCACCTTCTCGCTGCATATCCCGCTCATCAAAGGCCTGGACGAAAGATCTAGAGGCAACGCCTGCTGTACACACCATTGCTTTGTTTCTACCTTTCACTCCATGCCTCTAGTAGCGTCCGATCGCTCCCTAGTAGTATACCGCCAGGAGCCCCTAGTAGCATCCTTGCTCCTTGTAGTCTATACTCCATCAAACCACCACCCCCGCATGCCCCTGTTTGGGATCCGGTGGAGCCTGACGCAAGAGCTGCAATCGCTTCTCCTGCCATGTCTGCAAATATAAGACTTGATGTTTGTGAAAAAACATTGCATCAAATGAGAAACAAATCTTGCACACACATTGATAACAGGAGATGTTCTGATCCCCCTGTCCCTGTGGCGTCTCGATTTTGTCTCATGTCTTGTTCGAGAACTCTCAGTCCGATCTCCTGCAGCTCTCTGATGGTTCTATCACCTTAGCTGCTTAAACGACCACATCCCTTCTTGAAAGAATCTGTACCCATCATCCTGGTCGCCCAGGCATGCACTTACAAATTTGGAATGTGTTTTTTCTTGGACACAGCAGACCTGAGCAGGATAGTTTCAGACGCCTGCATGCAGACAACTCCGCTGCCAGCTGCAATCCGAGTTGCGGTCAGCCCATTCCCTAAATTCTTGCGCCTGCAGTGGTGCATTGAGAATCTGTAAAACTCCAGACTTGTTGGAATAACTAGCAATCCCCAAACTAATCTCTCCCGTCTCTCCGTGTGTTGTCAAGACCAGCAAGGCTCTGCTGGCGAACTTCTATGACCCAAAGACTTGGGAACACAACTTCGGAATCTCTACATGAGATTAGAGGATCATTCCAGCCGTGGAGTTGCATCATTCAGAAAAAGCTCTGAAGATCTTTTCATCTGCGACCAACGGGAATGATGACTTCCTCCTCGAACAGGTTCAGAGCAACACACACGCTACATCCCTTCAGACAGCGTAGCAGGGCCTCCATCAGCTGGATCCTCACCTCCATCCCGAACCTGAGAGTATCGGCCGGCCGTGATATGTTGACTTTGAGGGAATCAAGCAAAACTCTGAACTATAGGAGCTAATAAATTAGACCCGTGGAAGTTCATCAGGTGGATTCCACTTTCTGGAGAAGGTCTGTTGGAACCTTCATATATTCATCAGGAATGACCCGGTCATCCGGTCACCCACAAAAACACAAAGGTGAGGCAAAAAGGGTCCACCCGGTTTGCGAAGTTCATCTTGGTAGCTTAGGGTGCCTTAGGGTGCAAAATGTGCCCATGGCACCCATATGGGCCCATGATCCAGTTCAAAAGGGAGATCAACGATAGCACTGAAACACCACAACCAATGTGGACTCGCTGGAGACGACATCCTGAGTTCAAACTATAGCAGCTAGGCTACTGAGGCTGGATGTTCTCATCTCACAAAAACAACCACATACACACATCCGGCAAGGCATACAAATTGTACATAAAGGTTGCACAGCATCTGACTGCTAATTCCCACACTCCCCTGCAGCGATGGAATCCGAATGAGAATAGGCCTTTTCAGAATACTATACGTAAGGAATTCCTGGGTCCTTGATCCACTCCCACAGTTGTCAGAGTAGCTCGTCGCAAGGAGGAGGCAGCATCTGCTTGAAGAGGCGTTTTTGCCTGAGGAGAGCAGCTGTGTTTTAACATTAACCAAGATATACCAAAAAAGCATCCTGCTGGAAGTGAGCTCCATAACATTGTGTCTGTGCCTGTGAAACGCATCTGTCTCATAACACCTTGTAGCCAGAAGGAAGTGTTTCTTTGACCGCAAAGCCTCAGGTCTCCAGGCTTGGGATCAGGGTCGACCACAGCAAAACATAGAGGACATCACGTCAAACAAAACTGAAGATCGACCCAAGCCCGCACCAAGCTAAGCAAGCCAAGCTACTGGGTGTGGATTAAAGCAACCATAATTACGTTAGCATCCTGTGTTCACTCTAGGGATTTGCCAAAAATACAGCTAGAGAAAGAACCTCCAAAGATGTGACCGTGCATCCAGCAGCACACAACAATCAACAAACTGTTTGTCCCTCAGGGATTACTCATGAATCGTGAATCAGGTTTTGGAGATCTGCTCATGATTCTGATACTGTATGTCACAATGTATCTGTATCATATATTCATTACTGTTACCAATATACGTACATTCTCTCAACATATAAGATCGACTGGCATTGCCTCCCCTCCAGTCCTCCAGTCGATCACAACATGCTTCAATGCTTCCCAATCCGCCTGGTTCGCTCGATGATCCGCAGCTCAGCTTCAGAGGCCGGAAGCCCTGCACCTGAAAACAATCGGATTATCCACCTGTGAGTGTGACTACTAGAAGCTACCAGTAGCTCCTGGCATTACTACTAGGAGTAAATAACTACTAGGAACAAGAAACTACTAGTAACAAAGGGCATCGCTACTAGGAGCAAGAAAAAAGTGACCGACTCAGATCCAAAGCCCTTCATTGTCCTTTTCTTATGCCCCACGGTCTAGCGTTCCAAACCCTTCACATCCATGGTCAAAGTTCTGAATCTGCAAAATGCAGGACACCGAAAGCATGTGTGTTGTCTAGAAAATCACTGGCCCTCAACTGAGTGACTCCTACTTACTTGTCTCTTCCTTCTAATGCGAAGATAGAATAGAACCCATTCAAAAATATATAAATTATGCCAATGTATCGAACTGATCAAAGGAAGTTTAGTGTGCAAAACTTCCGTGTTACGGACATTCAACAGCTGTTCAACCACCACTCATCATACACCACTCATCATACACCACTCATCATACACCA